ACGAAGTTTGTTTACTATGTGAACAATTATTTTACAAAAACGTATTATACATTTCGTAAAACTTTATTACAAAAATATAGTAAACGAATGCAGAAGGTAAAAAATATAAAATTAACACATTATAACAATTTTCAATTGTTTTGATATAGATCCACATAGCATTTTTGGTATGGTTTAGTATCAGTTAGAACATTACAGATTTTGCTATCATAGCAAATATTAAATGATGCTTCATAATTAAATTTTAATTATCACAACATATCACTATCTGCTGTATAGAAGTTGTCTGATTTTCAAGGTAATGGTTTTCCATTCTTGAAACTTTGTCGGAACTGCATCCTTATGGGTCTGCCATATCTTGTCGAGGTTTTGCCAAATAACAGCGCTACTACTTCAATCGAGATCTCCATTTATAAGTCGTAGAGAAACATGGGAAAATAGAAAAATGCTTGAATTATTAGCATCGCTTTCATCGTCTTTGAGTTTAAACCTGAATGCCCATCAAAAATCCAATTTATATATTAAAATTAAATTGTTTATCTGAATGGACTTAAAGCCAGAAAAACTTTTTGTGCCTGTAAGATGCGGCTTGCTATGTGGTCTGAAAGTCCTTGCAACTCCACTTTAACTTGACTAACACTTTCTTTAATGGACCTTTTTTAAGCATAAGATGTTTTCTTTGCTTCTTGCGCAATTCTGTATAAGAGAAATCTCAATTTATGTTTCAATCTCACGATTTCATACTGAGGTCTTGACAGTTTCGCTTCGAGTCATCGATATTGCTTTTTTCCATTCATTAACGGATGTTTTTTGTTTTCCTTCTTTATATAAGCTCTCCTATACTTTTGAGTTGTCGTAGGGGTCTTGAAAACGATTTATTTCACTAACTTTTCGTTTTCAACTTGACACAAAGAACGTAAGCACAGCTGATTCGATTCTGGGTTCACCACAGTGTAGGCTGCCAACGCTTAGAATACTTTCGCCAAGTTTTAGACTTTTCCGTTGCAAGACATCTGAACAGAACGATTTACATAGTAATGGAATCTGAGAATACAGCCGGATGGTAGGCAGTTTTACATACAGAATAAATTGGTAAATAGAAGAGTGTATATTCAAATCAATAGGTTTATTTGTCGGTTCTGTCAATGTAAAGTTATCTTTTATACAGTATGAAAACATCATTTAATATGTATGAAATTAATAATTTCATAGCAAATACCTTGTAAATAATTATAACAGTCTATTAATTATACATTTTACACAAAATTAAATAAACATAACGAGTTAAAGATCAATTTATTAACTTTTAAACACATTTAAAATACATTAAAAATTAATATGTGATGAATGTAAAAAGTGAACTAGTAAGATAACATTTTAACAGAAATTGCCGAATAATTTTAAATAATTGGAATTAAACTGAATTTAACGAAGTTCTACAATAGTTTCTTCCACTTCCAATGGAATTTCTTGCTTGGAGAGAATAGCCGTGGCTCCTCGTTCATATTTATACACTCCTCCCCTTTCTCCCTTCTTCGAGATGACTTCATAGGGACGGAAGTGCGTAGCTCCTTCTTTAGTTACGACGCACAGGTCGACAATTCCTCCCGAGCCCAAGTCATTCAAGATACCGGCGGCTATGGCATCTTTCACTAGTTCCTTTCCTTCTTCTAATTCCATGTTCGGCTTCCATCTGCTCTCGAATACGGCCATGGCGGCAAGAGAGCCCGATCCTACGGTAGCGTAAGGCAGGTTTTGAGAAGTTCCGTGAGGATATATGCAGTAGATGCTACCTCCGGTCGAATCCACTCCTCCAAGTACCAAAGCCACGCCGAGGTTTCCTTGGTATCTAAACAACATTCGTGTCAACAACGTATTTGCACACACGACTGGTACAGTTCTATTCATTTCCAAGCGTAGTAATTCGAGCTGAGAAGAAATCAATTTTGTAGTCATTACTAAATCTGCAGCCGTTCCAGCTCCACCGCAATATATATTTGGATTCAAACAATAGATTTTACGGCAATTTTTATCGGCAACGATAGGTCCTTCGGTAGCTCTTGTATCTGCTCCCAAAATGACTCCATCCTTAAAAACTATACCTGCGATAGTCGTTCCCGTCTTTCTAAATTTAGGAACCGGGTATCCGGCTTCTTTAAGCATTTCATTTCGTCTACAATTATCGAAAACAAATCCGCTCTTGCATGCTTGATCATCAGCCATTTTGTTTGATATTTTTGCAAGTATTGACACACAAGTGTTGCCAGTTTCAAACTAATAATATCAAAATTTTTTGTTTACTAACATAAACGAATTAGTTTTATTAATTTTATGTTTTATAACATATTGTTTAATAAATGACAATTCATGTTTATTCTTTTATAAAAATGTCCGAGCCTATTTGATTATCCATTGACAATAACAGTAGTCATATGGAAGTTCTTTTGAATCTCTACCTGTTTTCTGCTTATATTCGGAAATACATATCCAGAGCTACGTATGGAGATTTTGGATCACCCCGTACAGGTGACATCATAGCCGAAGGCAGGTTTTTCGATTTTAACGTTGGTCATAACACTTATGACATAACTGTTAATTGCGTCTATGACAATGCAGGCATACGCCATAACAATCATGATCATTCCAATTCGAAAAATTACATTTTATAGAAATAAATGACGACTAATTACCGCAATGAATTATAATCTATAACGGAAACAACAAAACAACTTAATTGCAATATTAAATACTGTAAATAGACGTAATTTTAAAATTAAGAACAAATCGTTTTCATTGAAAAAAAAAAAAAAAAAGTTAACCTCTTACGTCCAGTAACTTTAACCGTCGTCCTACAAACTCCTTTGTTAAAAAACGAAATTCTTTTCTCAAGTCAATTTTAAGCGAGAAATTTCGAATTTTAATTTTTAGACTAAATTACTAAGAGAAATAGCAAAATTTGGTTCTAATCATTTTTTTAAAAACTTGGATTAAGGAGCGTTTTCAATCACCAGTCTATCCCTGGCACAGCGTTTAAATAATAAAGATAAATGAAAGTAATAAAATAATATGTTTCTAAAAAAAGCTTTTAAAAACATTTTGAATAGTTTTATTTCAGTAAAAATACTGTAGTATATTACTAATATACTATAGNAAATGAAAGTAATAAAATAATATGTTTCTAAAAAAAGCTTTTAAAAACATTTTGAATAGTTTTATTTCAGTAAAAATACTGTAGTATATTACTTAATATACTATATTTTTACACAAGTCCTTCAAGTCCGCGTGGCCTAATGGATAAGGCGTTTGACTTCGAATCAGAAGATTGCAGGTTCGAATCCTGTCGCGGACGGATGATGACTTTATTCTATACTACGGTCGAGTATTTTGCTGCCTTCCTTTCCCAATCCAGTGCTGTGTTTTGTTTTCGTAACCAATGTATTTTGTTACACTTTAACAAGTTACAATTTACTGTCGTATGTTATGTATTTTATTTAGTTAAATATTACAATACGTTAATATATAAAATAAATCAATTGAGTAAAATTAAAAATAATATGTAGATAAATTCGCCTGACAGTCAAATGGCGCCGGAATTTTAAATAACATAAGGATGCCATTTGCCTCTCTCGTTTCATATATGTTACGTACACGTAAAATGACGTGACTCCGTTCATGTACTGTACGTGAATGACCAAAGTCTTTAATTACATCTTTGACCAAACATTCATGTCTTTCATTCAACACCAGATATCATAAGTTCTATTTAAGAGAGTATTGTCATCAATAATCCGGCATTTTTTTAAAAAACTCTTTCCGCTTTGTGGGCACTAAGATGGCCTTTTTTAACAAGACCATTATGGGTTCGGCCAGTCCAAAAATGGGGCGGGCCCGAACATATCCGGTCGGATCAACCCCGATGGCCCGTTCGATCCCGGGTCGAGAGTGGTAGCTGCCACCTTGACCGCTCGGCCACCGTTCTGTTGACAATGATCGGGCATTGACGTGATGGTAGGAAGATTTTACTTGTTTTCAGCATTTACAATTTTTTTTTTTTTTTTATAAAACTTATCTGTAACCTCAAAATTAAACTTTTGGACATTTTGTAATAATTACTAAAAGTTATTTAACAAAATCGATGAATTCGCTGAACTTTGGAGACATAACACATTCATGATAGATCATAATATACTATAGTATTTTACTGTAATTAGAAAGAGATTAGGCCATTTAAAAGCAGAGTAGAATTATTAGTTATTTATTGCATTATCATATGTTATTATATGTTGATTTTAATCCATATTTATAATGGAATGATGTTTTAATATTTCTATTAATGATGTCTGCAAAGTTCAGCGAATTCTTCTCAAAAAGAATGTTAACAGAAACAAGTCAGAGATGAGTAGTCACGTGACCGAATAGCACCAACAAATATCATGTGACACGCTTCGTACTCGTCCGCTGTCCTATGTGACAATCCGCGACGAAAACAAGCTTAAGCAATGGCGTCTTTGAACGGGGTACACTCGGTAAGTATTCTGAAAATTTTTTGTTTATAACATATTTTTTATGGATTATTCCCAAAAATTATACGTGTTTTGGAAATATTCGGGTCAAATTAGTCTATAATCGATTAATTTTATGGAAGAAAATCTTTCAAATAGCCGTACCCCGTAAACTGCACAAGTACCTAAAATTCTGCCAATATAAAAAATAAATTTTAAAATAATATTTTAAAACAATGCTCATGTAAAGATATTTTAAATTATTTTGAATATTTAAAGTAGAAATATTTTAAAAAATCTTTAATAGTTTATCGTAATTAAATGCCATTAGAATTTTTTCTGGGCTTGTTTTTCATCGTTTCAAAATGGCAACTTTCAAGTAAACAAGAAGGAGATAATCACATGTCAAAGAGCGTTTAATATTAAAGGATTTCAAAATGGCCAGCAGAAGTAAGTAGGTGTATATATAAATGTGTATAAAATTTGAGATGATGTATGAAGCAATAGTAATGAAATTTCAAAATATCTCAATGTTTTCAGACATCAGCGCATGATGTAAATAGATGCTTTAGTACTGTATGCAGCTTACTTAAACACAGTAACATCATTACTCTTAGGGTTAAAGTTTAATATTTTTATTTATCTGCATTAAAAGAACGTACGTTTCGTTTTAAATAGTCGATGACAATCACTGTAAAAAATGAAAAGGCAGTATGACCATACAACATGCAATCGTTCTTAGACAGGTCAACGGTAAGTTTCTGGGGATTTATGTTGTTTCACCCCTAATCCCCAACCAACAATAGGGCAAAGCCACACCACTAAAAACATAATAATATTTTTTCCCCCAGAATTAAGTGAAATATAGAAATATAAAGGACCTAGGAGTGGTTTGAATGGGGGAGGAGAGCCAACCTTCAAGACTGATACTTTGTATGAACTGCTAATGTTGGTTGTAGACATTGGTCGGCAAAATCGGTCTCCACACTACTGATGATAAACGTGTAAATATGGCCCTATGTATAGAGATACTCCATGCAGAGCCATCCGAAAGAGGTTTGTTTTGGATCTTATACGGGGGTCATTCTAAAAAAAAAGAACATTTTGATCTGTCAAGCTGTGCAGTTCACCTACCACCCTCCACTGCTGTGTCATGGACCTTCCCATGTTTTTGTGCCAGTCTGATGCTAATAGTGAGCCACAATAATCGTTTACTGTTTACAGTGTGACTTTGAAGTGTGTGACAAAATTAAAGATCCCACCAAGTGTAAGGTTCATAGTGTAATATGCTTTTTGAATGTGAAAAAAATCGTATCGAAATTTACAGACAGATAACCAAAGTTTATGGTAATGTGATAAATGAAGCTTCATTTCAAAACAAATGGCAGGGATTGTTGTCCAGAGGCATTGTGCTTCTTCAGGATAATGCATGTCTGCATGCTGCTACGTTGACAAAGAACTTGCTTCAGCAGCTTAAGTGGGAAGTTTTTGAACATCTTTCTTATAGCCCGGACTAGGATCCGAGTGATTACATTTTTTCCCAAAATTGAAGGATTTTTTAGCCAAGAATCACTATGGAAGTGAAAATGAACTGAAAGAGGCCGTTAATGACTGGTTCAAGAACTTGGCAGTAACTGAGTGTGCAGAAGGCATAGAAAAGCTGATGATATGCTATACAAATGTTTAAATTTGTATGACGACTATGTAGAAATATAGCTAAGGTATCATATATGTTGTAAAATAAGTTTTGTTTCATTATCTTAAATAAAAATATCTAGAGAAACAAATGTTCTTTATTTTTAGAATGACCCTTGTATAATACTAGGGATTGCAAACATTTTCCTTTATAAAATGAAGGTTCACAAAGTTGAAGCCTTGAGGTATCTTACATTCTTAGAAATCAAAATGAGACTTAAAGCAGATATTTTCCTGCAGTATATACTGCTCTTTTTCTACATTATTGTTTTTAAACACTATATGATAATAAAGTATTGTTTTTTTTGTTTAGAACTATCCATTGCACTTATTCAAATGGCCGTTACGGCTTCTAAAGAAGCAAATCTTGAAAAAGCTTCGGAGTTAATAGCAAAAGCTGCCGGTGAAGGTGCCAAATTGGTGTGTTTGCCCGTGAGTATATAAATTTATATGTAATTTTTGCTATTATATTATCTGTTTGAAACTTAATGAAATACATTCTGTTTAGGAATTTTTCAATAGTCCCTACGATTTGCGTCATCTTGATGTTTATGCTGAAAAGATACCGGGTCAGACAAGTACTGTTTTATCAAATGCTGCAAAAAACAATAACATATATTTGATTGGAGGTATGTTTTGCAATTTATACATAAAGAATTTTATTACACAATTTTGTATTTATCAATGTTTTAATATAGAGATAGTTTTTTTCCAGTTCATGTTTGATAAGCATTTAAAAGTGATTCAATTAGAGTATAGAGAAATTGTAAATTTCTGTTTTAGTAAGATAGAATTATCATATGAAAAAACATCTGTTGATAATTAAAAAAAATAGTTTAAGTATATCTTTAAAAACAATTTGAAATTATTGATATTTAAGTACAGTAGAGCATCAATTATCCGAATACCAATCAACCAAAACATTGGTTAACCGAAAGCATTCCAATCAGAAAATTCAAATTTCTGGTAGTTCTGTGGCGCTGCAGCTCTCTCACCCTTCTTTCGAACTTAAACTGTAGGCCTACTTTAATGTATTACTTTATTTAAGGTATGTATTTGTAAGACGTGTGATACAAAATATACAGTACAGTTTCGTGTTTAATATATTTTTTCATAAATGATCAGTTATCCGAACAACCCCAGTCCCGAATTGTTTTGGATAATCAATGCTCTACTATAGTTTTAAATTGTCATTTGTGTAAATTATCACAAAAACTAACTTTCAAAATGTTGCCAAACATACTTTTGCTAAATTTAAAAGCTAGTATTTCTCAGGAATATATTATTGCCATGCTGAACCTGATATATTTAAATGTAGACTTTACCTTTGTATCAGATGAAAATTTTATAAACTTGAAGATGTCTGTAGCAGGGGTGCCTAGACTTTTTGCTGTAAGAGCCCTAGTTACCTACCTGAAATTTTGGGAGCCCCACCTAAAGTTCTTGGTATAAAAATAAAAAAATTTCAGAATCATAATGTATTTATTTTGACAATTAAAGTAAGTTGTTTTTACATATTTATTACATTTTTTTAAATCTTACTCTTTGCTAGTTGAAGGTTTATGAATTTGTGATGTTGAAATTAAGTTTTGATAATCAGGTTGATAATTAGATAATTGAACTTCTTATTAATTCTTTTAAATGTTGATTGGTTAACTGTGAATGGAACTTCAATTTAATCAATTTTATCATTGAGTACAATGATTCAACAGCATATGTTGATCCAAAAATTGACAGTAAACGATATGCTGCATTTTTTAAATTGTTTTACTTAATTATTGGTACACTTTTCCAAAATTCAGTGATTGATTTTGCTGATTTATGTAACATTTGGAGACCTTGACTTCTTGTATTTCAATTAATTTTAATTCCAGTGTATTTACAAGATACAGAAATTTTAAAAAATAATAATATTTTTTACTTATTAGTTGAGTCACAATTAAGCTCATGAAGTGTTTCATATGGCTCACGAGCCACAGTTGGGCATTCTTGGCTTATAGAATAGGTTGAAAACGTTTTTAACCTATTCTATAGGGCAAGAATATTATATTATTATTAAACAATTATCACAAATTATTATTAATTCTATATTATTAAACAATCATCACAAAGCACCTTAGCGAATTAAGGTGCTTTGTGATGATTGTTTAATAATTAAGTCTACACTGAGTGTGGTGTTGAGGTTACTATATCAGATATTCTAATTTAGGAAAAATCCACTAATTCATTAAATATAGATTCATGATTCATTAAATATATCAAAAATACTAAATAATCTAATAATTTTTTATGAATCATTTGTTGTAAGAAATTGATTAATTCATATTTTGAAATTTCCATTTTGAGCAGTTTATTTTTTGATATACTGAAATGTAAAATTAATTAAAATTAAATTGTAATTTTTCTATAAAGTGAACTTTTGTATTCATAAATAATTTTTCAATTAGTAATTGGTTGTTCAAAATTTTAATAATTAATTAGTTTTTATTTCCAGTCATTCCAAAACTATGTCTCATTTATTAACTACATTTTAGAGCAGACTAATTTTATTTTGCCATTTAGTATCTTGTATTTGACTCTCTTATTTTTCAAATAATGATATCAGTGTTTTTATTATAACTGATCTTACGATGGTAATGCTGGATTAAGGTGTTTAGTGTAAATATGTAAATCTCTCTAGAGTTAGAAGTTAGAAGACAATCTATCAGAAGTTAGAAAGACAAGAAATTTTTGCAATATTATATATTAAAGTAATCTTTGTGTTGTTAATGAGAAATTTTATTTTAGTGAAAAATCCATTTCTAAGAGTATTTACTGGACAGTTTACAAATGTTTTTTTAATAATAACTATAGAATATAAAAATTTCTGCAATAAATACAATACACTTTAAAAGTAATTATATATGGATAAACTATATTCAATATTCTACTTTTTTTACAGTTTTTTACAGTACTAAATTTTTTTACAGTTTTACAAAACTTCTTTTGAATATTTATGCATTTCTAAGAATTAAGTTTTTATTTATGTAAAACATTTAAATAATTAAATTAATTTGTCACTTTTCATGCAAAATTAACAATTATAATGAAAATATAGTCCATTAAAATTTATTTATTTATTTTTATTTGGTGCATTATTTTGATTTATAGATTGTAAAGTGACATACACTAATGCAACTTTAATGCTGTAAATTTTCATATAATTCTTATTAATTTCTTATAACTATATTATAATTTAATGATAATGTTTTATTATTTACAAATATTTACAAATAATCATAATTGATACCCATTATTGATTTTTACTATGGAATTTTCAGATTTAAAATGATAAATGTATTAGATCAGCAGTAGAATATACATGTTTTGCTTGGATCTTACTTGGATCAAAGTACTGTATATTTCTGCAGATAAGACAAGGTATAAATTTTCGTCAAAGTTTTATAGTTTTAGCATATATCTGTCCCATAAGATGACCCCCAAACTATCAATAGCCCATGAATTTAGTTTAGATCAACGATCATTATCTGTATAATAACTGTATAGCATATACGGTATTATGTCCTATTCGTAATTTTTTGAATGAACAAATTTTATTTTCTTGAATCTGAATCAATGTGATTGTTGCACTGATTCAGGCATTTGGGTAATGATCTTGATTATTCACAAAAACTTCGTATAGGCTACAGGCTATTCTATTTTGTGGACATACCCTACTCTCTAATTACAGTTTGTCTGTTTTTTTATATTGGTTTTAATTTATATAAATTTCAATCTAACATTTTTCTGTCTGTCCTATAAGATGACACCAGATTTTGGGCGATTTTTTTTATGATTCAACTATTATCTTATCTGCGGAAATATAGGGTATTTTGTTTTGATGAGTCATTAAATCTCTTGCAAGTCAATACTTTCTGCTTAGTCCTAGTAGTATTTTGCTGTATAAAATACATTTTCCTGCAGTTGAAGTATATAGATATTATAGTTGTGTGAATATGTAATGAAGACTATTCTCTAACTTACAATATAATCTTTATTTTATTTTAATTTTTGTGATTTATAAAATGAGGAAATATAATACTTATTTGAATGTTTTAAAAATTATTGTATTTCTTATTTCAATATTTATTAAACAATAATCAGAGATCATATTTGTAATTACATCAATTATTGTCTTTTTATAGGTACCTATCCTGAGGTAGATGATGATAAATTTTATAATACCTGTTTAGCATTTGGTCCAAATGGAGAAACATTAGCCAAGTTTAGAAAGGTGTTTTTACAATTCTATTTAATAGAATAGTTTTTGTGTTTTATTGAAATATTTATTATAATATTTTGTATTCTGTAGATAGACATACAGATATACTATTATCAGATTTGTACTCTAGATTAATTTATCCAATTATGCTGCTGACCCATCATTTATATAAATGATGAATAAAGCAAGATACAATGAGTAAAGAATTGCAGGGGAACCTTATTATGTTATTTTTATGTTTCAAAAAAGCACAACTTGTAATGAAATGATGTGTATTGGACATCAATTTCTTATTGAACTAACGTATTGTGTTGAAGATATGTTCCAGAACAACTAAAAATTGAGAATTTAATTGGAAAAGTATAGGCATCTTCTCTTCTTCTCTCCTCAACCCACAGGGTAACATCAGGTCTACCATTCACTTCTATTTAGTGTTAGTTGTTTAATTTTATTGTAAGGTGTTCTTATCTTTCAACTATCCAGTACTCCATTCTTGATTGTCTTCTTACCACTTTTCTCTCCATCATTCTCTCAAATAAAACTTTCATTCATTTTGGATGTCTTAATAGATGTCTAATCATGTTGTTTCTGAGTGTTAAGAGTGTTTCTGGTTTCTGCTCTTTCTAAAACCTGTCCATTTAGTACAAGCACCTTCAGCATTCTCCTCCAGCACCACATTTCAAAGTTTCTAAATTTCATTATTCTAAATAAAATTCAGTTTTGTATACTATAGCAATTGAATGCCTGAAATTGTTAATAACAAGAAATATCTCAATTATAATCCAGGATTAATGTATATGCTGCTTGCAAGATAAGATGAAGTTAAGACTCAGAAAATGTGAACATATGTCCTTTAGGCTTTGTCAAATGCCTAATGATGAATGTAAAATAGGATATGGGTTTAGAGACCAAAACATTTTCTATCTTGGTTATCATTACTTCACATGGATATGATTTTATAAATTTGAGTTTATATTTTTAATCTTCTTGTTCTTAGAACTGGACTTTATTTTTAAGAGTGTGTGAGTATTGTAAGCTTTTGACATAATTTTTGTTTATTTATTTAATTTAGGGGTTGAAAAATATTTAAATTTTTTATTATTGTTCTACATTAAATGTAACTTACATATTTTTATGTAAGCTGTATTATTATATTGAATGTAAGTGGATAAAAATATATATTTACAACCTTACCCAGATCCATCTTTTTGATATTGATGTACCAGGTAAAATCACATTTAAAGAATCTAATTCAATTTCACCTGGAAATTCTTTAGTAACTTTTGATGCTGGTGAGTTTTTATTTTCTTGACTTTAAAGTTAATTCAGAATTATAAATTTTTATTGTTATTTTGCTTTCCAGCATTTGTGAAAGTTGGACTTGGGATATGTTATGATGTGAGATTTCCACATCTTGCCAGTTTATATGCTGATAAAGGTATTTATAACATTTGTTGAGTATCTAAAGTTAGTAGTTTATGCACAATAAATATAATGTGCTCACATGTGTTATTAATTGATCATCATTAATCATTTATTGAAATTGTATTAAATTTTATTTCATTATTTAATACTATAATTAACATATTGAACATAAAGATTAATTGTTGTGTTTTTTCTGAATTTGTTACTTATTACACATTTTAAATTAAACATATCATTAACACTATTTTTCGTTTAATGTCTGTGCAGTAGTAAATGTATAAAAATTAAAGATATTGTATTTATAAAAGAAAATATTGCAGTAAAAATATGTTTTTGTACATATCCATTCAGTAATTTTTATAAAAATAAATAAAAGTTTGTTTATGTTAAAATATTTACTAAAAATGGTAATATATTAACACATTTTTGACATTCATTATACCCATAGATAATAAATGTGTAATAAAATCATATAGACATGTATTAATATAATGCAAGATAAAGAATGAAACTGGTGTAGAGAAAAGGTCCACAGAAAAATATCAGTGCCAAATCAATGATGCAAATTATTACATTTTCCATATAGCATTTGTCATAAACATTATTTTGTTCATTATTGTACAGTGCATGGTACATTGATACAGTTCAATTACTGTCAGCAGTACTTGCCATTTACAGTGCAAGCAGTGAAACATGTTTTGGAAAATGACAGCTGTCAATTTGAATGTGCTACTGATTTTGGTAGATACATCTCCTCTTTGTTATTCTAAAAATAATCCTAAAGGGAAGACTATTAGAAGTCAGACAAAGCTAGTTGTCCAGAATATATTGAAATAAAAATTAATTCTTGATTCAATTCACACATTAAGGAAGCTAATGCAATCTTAAGCATAGAAGACACTTTTGAACAAGCTGCAAAGGTGACTAGCAAACAGTCTTTGTGGTAAAGAAGCAACAGTTTCTGGCTAAGAGTGCCAAAATCATACAATTAAAAGAAAACAAAATTCTTACAAATTAAATTAAACAATAAATAATGAATGAAAACACTAAGGTAAAAGGTAACAGATTTGGATAGTCAGTTCTATCAGGCTGATCTGCTGTACAAAAACAAAAATAGTTTGACTGATTGAGCAGATTTTGTGGGAGAATGATACACATGTGAGCAATGCAGCTCTGTTCTTTATTTTGCAGGAAGGTTGTTATAGATGAATATAAAGTTTGGCATTTATGCTGTTTAATTTTTACAAAAATTATAATTACTATAGCCCATACAAAATTAGCTTATAAAAAGTATTGAATATAATTATTGCTACTTACTGATATATTTGTATTGTAATATCAATACAAAAGTATCAAAGGCTGAGTGGTTTGATTTATACACAGGTTTATTAAAATTAAATATTTAAAAATTTTCAAAAATTAATTATTTTTAAATTATGATTTTTTTAGTAGGAAATCGATTTTAATGACTTTTAGCTTCAGAATTACTAATTCAGTTTTCAAAAAGCATGTGAAAACTCATATATTGTTTTAGAAATTTATACAGGAAATCCTCGTTAGTTTGAAATTTAAGGGGTGAAATAATCGTGACTTCAAATTATCGAGTTTTGAATTCTCTATGCTTTACATATTTCTGTACAAAATGCCAAATGCCATGTAACTGTTGTAATTTATTAAGCAAACAGAATATGGCTATGTATACATAATGCTATTTTCGTTAATTAATAATAATAATATAAAAATAAACTGCAGGTAAACAGCATGTGTCCAGTGAGAACCTCACAGGTTGTCATATAGGTTTTTATAAAAAGTAAGGCAAAATTTCTGTAGCCCAGTGTAGCCCAAAATGTAGCCCAAATTATTTTTAAAGTGGCCCAAAAAGTAGTAAATTACCCAAATGTTGTAGTGTAGAGCCCAACAAATCTCTCACTCTGTTACTTATAGTCCAATCTTACAATCCCAAAACCCAGCTGTATTTTATGAGATAAGACAAAAAAAGGATAAGGTGATACCTGAAAATGCATTACTGTAAAAGCAAATCCATATTGACTAGATTAGAGTTATTCTTGGTTTATTGTTCTTGTGTAGCATGGAGGCACTTCAATCTAAATGAATGAGTAAACACATGCATATCACAGTTTGGACAAAATTTTCATTTTGAATTTTGAAGTGGTTGTATTTTGAACTAACTGAATTCATTAATATGTAAATTTCTATATTACTGGCTGAAATAAAAGTGCAGTTACAAACTATGATTTTGAACTATCTGAGTTTGAATTAATAAGGATTTCCTGTATAGAGAGATCCAGTATTGTAGAACAACATTGGATCTCTCTATATAAACTTGTAAAATAGTATATTATGTCAATCCCAATAAAAAAATATTTTAATTTTTATATTTTATATTTAAAATTAAAGTCTTTAGTTAATATTCTATTACTATGTTACAATCCTGTATAAACCCAGCTTTAGTTTTTAAGTGAAAATTGAAATAAATTTAATTAAAGTAATTATTGAAATATGATATGCCAATATTAATATATTTATAGTATTAATATACAGTACTCTTTTTAATAATTTAGAAACAGTATTGAAATAATCTATGTATGAATAATATGAAAACATTTTGAATCATATTGAGAGCTTTGAACCAGCTTATAAACTGGATGAATTCATTTTATAAGCTGGCCAAATTATTTTTAAACTTCAAATAACTCATTGTAGAAAAATTCTAAAATTTATAAACACTGTTACCAATAATTTCAGTAACTAAACAGTCTCCTTGCTCAGAACAAAGCAAAAAAGAAGATACATTTTTTTGATAGTTATAAAATAGTTTTAATGGCAGTCAATATTTAATCATAGTTAATAAATCTGTTAACTATTATTGTAACTAACTTTGTAATAAGTATGAATCCTTAAGTAATTTTTAAAAATTCAGAACCATTTCAGAATTATTTTAAATGGTAAGAAAATTTATTTTTATTAAAGCCATTGATTTAAAAATGTTGACGTAATGTAGCTGTAATTCTCTTCTCTGTTTTTATTTATTGGCTTAAGAAAATTAATGATTTAGCCAACAGTCTTCAAGTTCAAGAATTTGCATTAGACACAGTTTTTTTTTTTTTTTTTAAGATTCTTTGATTATGCATGCAATCTTCAGCAAATGGCACTAAAAATATAATGCTTTTTATATGGGAAAATTATTTTTAAAAAATTCTCAAAAATGGAAATAGAACCAAACAGTTTGTGTTAGAATCCTGTTTAATTCTTCTAATTAATGCATGGTTCAGAATTTTTAAATTCAAAGTAATTTATCTTTTGTAATTTTAAAAATTCATAGAAAATTAACCACTTTAAGTTTCAAAATTCTGAACTGCATGTTAACAGAAGAATTAAATAGAATTCTAATGCAAAAAACAGTTTTGTTTCTATTTTTGAGAAATTTTGGAAAATGATTTTTCCATAGAAAAAGCTTTATATTTTTTAACATCATCTTTTGGAGAAAGCATGCAAAACCAAAGAAGTTACAATCAGTCTTTACTTAATAAGTACAAATAAATACTCCACAAATAATCATATTGCCATTACTGTAAATAGTTATATATCAAATGCATATTGTTAGAAAATATACTAACATTATTTTAATAGGATGCCATTTATTGGTATATCCTGCTGCATTTAATATGACCACGGGTCCTGCTCACTGGGAAATACTTCATAAAGGTCGTGCATTGGATAATCAAGTGTATGTTGCCATGATATCACCAGCCAGAGATGAAAATGCTCCCTATGTTGCTTGGGGACATAGTTCTTTTACAGATCCATGGTAATTATTTCTTTTTTAAAATGAAATTTGTGAATAATTTATAGATGCATAAAAATTATGATTTATCTTTTATTGTAGGGGAAGAGTTATTACCAAAGCAGAAGAGAAAGAAACCATTTTGAAAGCTGAAATTGGTAAGATAATTTTTTTTTATAGTTTGTTAGTTTTATTTAAAATTTTAATACTAAATGCTATTTCTGTACAGATCTAGATTTATTAGAAGAAGTTCGACAACAGATTCCTTTAAGAAAACAACAACGAAAGGATCTATATCAGCTTTCTGATAAAAAATAAATAGTAAACTATTTAGATGAGAATTTTAATATATTTTTGTAATATAATACAATGATTGTAAATTATAAATAAGAAAATATATTTTATTAATTAAAATAGACCAATGAAAAGTTATAGGACAAAACTTTTATTCAGATGTTTATCAAAATCATGTTGAGAAATAATATAAATAAAATAAAAATTTCTTATATGACTTCTCAAATTTTTTTCTTTGTTTTGACTATTTTTCGGTAGGATATTTTTCTGCCAATTTAACTTTTATTAAAATTAAAAACTCCATGTTAAATAATCCAATAATATAAAACATTCAATTGTTAATATTCCTGAATTCCTGTTCTTTAATTATGATCATCCTGTATTATGCATGTAGCCAGATACTCTCTTTAAATTGAAAAATCCTAGAATTTTGAATAGAAAACCTATGATGATGATGATATTGGTATTTATACCAAAAGGACGTTTACTTTAACCGATATTGTTTAGCACTTTACTACATTTTACATTGTACAGTACATATATACTTGAGATAGAAAAACATTAAGTGAATTTTCCAACAGTGTACTTTAAAGCATAGGCTACCGTTAGGTTGTCAAAACTGATGATACTAACCGATAGTTGATACTAATGAGTCCACTGTATATAGTTAAGGAACTTCTAAAACTGTGTGGTTCAGCTTTTAGCCTAAAGGGAGTAAACGCGGTACCTATTTCATTGAAAAATCGTAGCAATTTACGTCGTAGCCAACGTTTGTACACGAAAAAATCGCAAACATCTTACTAAATCGAACTATTATACTATTTTCAAAATTGACCAATCAGAATTAGTAGACCTATATTCTATACGCGTACTGTACATAAAAAGGCATTTGCATACTTGCATACCATACTTGCAGCCAGTAAGCTACATGTAAGAGAAATGGCAAACAAATAGGAATTTGAAATTTTTCCTTGAATAGAACTTTGAGTTTTACAGAGGTTAGTTTATATGGAGAATAAACTTTGTGTTGACTTTATAAACATACGACATCTTCAATAGGACATCTTATTTAGTACAGTATGTCTAAATGTTTCTAAAGTTATTGAGGATTGATATATTAATACAAAATAAGTATAATTAGGAGCTTAGAATTGGTATTTACAAATAGCTGTTTTCGAACGAAAAAAATGCATCACAAATGATAAAAATCAATAATTGATACGAAATTGTATCACGTTCTTCAGATTTTAGAACCAATCAGTATAACACAGGCCTGACCAACTTATGGTGGGGTGTGATCAACCTATAGTAGTCAAAAGCATCGATAATCTCCACATTTTTATTTTATGAAAGCTTAATAATCCATTTAACAAAATTATTTTGCAAAAAATAGTTGTATTTACATATTACACAGTAATTAATGTTCCAGGGGATCTCTTTTTGGTAAAGACACTAAGATATAAATTAAAAGACAACATTTATTCTTCACCACAAAAAAAAAGAAAATTGTATATCGTTTTGTCACACAAATTATAAGTTTTGCTTCTTTTCGGTGCACTCATTTTGCACTGAACTAAATTGTTTACAGTACAATAAAACAATTTATAAAACCGATTCATCTGGATAGCAACGGCCATTGACAGAAAGGACATTGCTTCCTTTCATCCCATAGAGCACAGCATTACCAATCATAGAGAATAGTTTAAAGATTTCTCTGTGAAAAATATTGATTTAACATTTCTGTTAAAATTACAAATAATGCAGTCATCGACCGGCATCATTTTTGGTCGATTTGTTGGCCATGGTATATTATTATGACGTGCTAAGTAAAATTTTAATAAAAATTCACATGATGTGTAAAATTTAATTTTTATTGTAAATGTAAAATATTTTATCAAGTATTTATTTAAATATATTAATTAGCTCTTAGAAACAAGGGGAGATAATGACGTTTCCAGTTTCCAATGTATTGTTTGTATGGTTAAGACTTTGAAGGAACCTTTATTGAGCAAAAGGAAAAAGCGCGCTTCTCAAACGTTTTTTAAAACTAATCAAAGTTAAAAAATCCTTAGCTATTTACAGGTCTAGGTATGCTTTGCGAGATCGTTAGATCGCATTTTTGCGAGTGAAGTTTTTTCCAAATCAATGCAATCTTTACATAAAAAATTTGTGAATTAAATGAGTAAATGGGTTAACCTATAGCTCTGGGAATTCAAGATAGAAACTGTGCTAGCAAAAAAACCTCAGGAATTTTTCATGGGTAGTCGGACCACCTCCCGACCGCCCCTTGTTGATGTAGACAAATTCATGATGGACATGGAAAAAAGACCTTCTTTGTCCCACAGGACAAAAAGAGTTAAAAATAAAATAAAGGTTTTCAAGAATTCATTTCTTTTTAATCAGAATGTTTGAAGAACAGTATTCTTTAAGATCTATCACTCATTATTCGTAGTTTAGTTTCAGTTCTAGTTTATGAGAAAGATCATAAAATTATTGTGGAATTATTCAGAAATTTTGCGAATTATTTCTTAGAACAGCAAAATAAATACTTTATTTTCAATTTTCTCGAATTTAGGAATGACTAGCAGACCTCGCCACGCGTTGTTGTGGCTCAAAATGTATCTATTTTTAATGGATAATATACAGCCTATGTCCACCCTGAAGTTCCATTCTAAATATTGGTGAAAGAATTTTTGAAATCGGATGAGTAGTTTCGGAGATTACCCCCTACATCCAAACTTACAAACATTACCTCTTTATAATATTAGTATAGATAAAAAAAGATATGTATCATTTATATTCAAACAACTTGAAATGATTTCGTAAGGAAATAAAATTTAACATGTTAAGATAAAATATTAATTTTGGTTATTATTTTTCAGTTGCAAATTTAAAGTATTCAAATTAGTTGAATAGGAAAGGTGGATAAATGTGCTAATTCTATAATCTTAAGCTATTTTGGATGGAGTTTACCGTCATGATATAACTTCAATACAATAGTACAAACAGTCGTGATGTCAAAGGTAATTTTGTTTGTTTCCGATTTCAAACCATCCTAACTGACCTCATTAAAGATAATCCTTATCGGTGGCCGGATGGCAGAGGAAGTAAAGACATTAACTCTGGAAAACCCGGACTCGAATCCGGGCCGACTCAGAAATTTTCATGAGTAAGTTGACCCGGTTATTTCAGACCCGTCTCTCACTATCCGGTTGTCCTCATTGTGGGTTTAGCCAAACCCATAATGATTATGAGTCTTATGACTAAAATGTCCTCTTAGTGAGCTCAGAGTTATCTTGTACTTTTTTATTTTTCTATACGGACTTCGTGTCAGACTTACTTAAATAGTCTCGAAATTTACGAAAAACTCAATTCGATATAATCTTGCATTTCGTGTGAAAATTTCCCCAAAAATAAAAATATATTTATTCTACGTTCGACCATCTCGAAGAAAATGAGTATTTAATGGGCATCCAAGCAAGACCCGGAACAGAAAAAAATTCCCTTGGGCTCCTTTTGTCATTTTTTTGAACAAATGAAATGCGTGGAATGCTTCTTTCATTAATAAATTAAATTTTTATTGTTTCATTATTTAAAAAGAACTAATTTATATGGGTAGGAAACACTATGAGCCCCTAAGAAAACTCCCCAGCTTTCATACCTCTCGACCGCACTCTAAGAAAGTATATTTAATATAATAAAGAATATATTTATATATTTCAATTTTCTAAAAATAATATTATATATCATAACACGTAATTGATAATAGGATGAATATCTTATAAAGTTTTTACTTTTGAAATCATTTCTATTTCAAATAAAAAAAAAATATATTTATGAATATAATTAAAAGAGAAATCTGAGAATGACCGGGGCAAGAACAGTTTAAAATATACTGTAGTTGTATATAATGCCTGTTATTAAATCTTCGATATTATCATCAGTTAACATTTTTTTTTTACTGAAAAGTATTTACAGTTAGTTTTCTGTATTTTATTAAAAATAATTTTAATTTTCTTCAAAACATGGCCGAGGAATCGAATCCGGTTTCTCACCACATTATGGGCCTAGTCGAGCCGACTATAGTTATGGAAAAAGGCGCTCTTAGTGCCTACAGGGTTTGAAAGAGCAAAAAAATTAAAAAATATACATACAGAAAAAAAATTGTTAATACAGAAACAAATTTTAATATAGTATATACGACAGTAAATTTAATAAAAGTATTTAAAATATTATTCTTTATAAAAGTTTTTTATGAAAAGAATCTAAAACTGTAACTTATAATAGTTTACGTAGCCTATAAACATTGTAAGACTTATTGTATTAATTAACAAATATGAAAGCCATATGCTAGTACAGTAATTCAATTGTTTTTCTTTTAACAATGAGAATATTTTACATTGTATAAGCGATTTGTATCTAGCAAATCATAAACAATGAAACTTTAACCTGAAAATTTAGTATTACAAGTTACAGAACTGTATGAATTTACATTTTATTAGTTTATCTATTGGAAAAATATTGATAAAGTACTAATGTTACGTGTTCATCCAAGTTGCACAAGGCTGTACTAGGACTTATAATGTCTTCCGGCAAGAATTTCGTATAGTAAATAATCTCTGTAAGCAACGCTTCATTAACAATCATCATTGTTTACACCACATTTGTTTCCTTAAATGTTTTCTAATCATCTCTCCTAGTTTCTAATTCACCCATTTTCCTGGTTTCTTATTTGGAAAAGTGAATAAATTGTGTAAAAATACTTAAATGTTATCATTAGCCGCGTGAGATCTTTCGTAAATTAGTATTTTATATTTTAATTGTGGTTTGTATTTTGCTTATGCTAATGTTATTTTAACATTTTTTACAATTTAAAATATCATTTGTTGGTTTATATACAAACAAACTTTTATTTTATTCTATAGAATCTATTTTAAATCGGTTAAATATTTCGAATAGATAATATCATTTGCAGTTATGAAATACACCATTATAAAGCTCATATGAAAGTTATATTTTAATAATTAGTAGAAATAAAAAATATTATTTTTTCTGCGATCTATTTTCTTCTCATTTCTTCCATTATTTTACATCCTTAACAATGAAATGTAGCGCAGAAGTAGCTATTAGTCATTTAAATCTCAATTAAATTTTCAATGCTACGTTTTGTGTATATGAACATATCTTTTTTCTACTAAAATTTCACGAAAACTTCGTTTTTCTCCAAGTTTTACTATTTCGTAGTCATTTTTTGCATTGCTTGTAGAGCTACATTTTAATACTTTAATAACGTGACACAAAAGGATACTCTACAAACTACGCTACTGTATTTGTATGCACGCCCAATTGTGTTCAAGTGGATAAAACTGAAAACTGTGGGTTTACGTCCGATCGACGGGTGAACACGTGGAATTTTTCGGATGTTCTTCACATGCCAAACACCTACTCAGGGGCTAGTTTTCCACAGAAAGTCCTCCCAAGAAACACTTTTCCTTAACAGATCGCCAAAGTGTTGTATTTCCTTCTTGTATTAATCCGATCTAATTAACTGTATATGTTATTTTTCTATACAGTATTTTTTTATACTTAATATAATTTTTAAAATTAATTTTTACTTACTTCTAGAATTTTATATATTTTCCTTACATTTCTTGCTGAAAAATCGGTTTTGAAGTGTATTAAGTCTTTACTATCAAGCATTCCTGTAGCCATTCATTCGTAAAAATATCTAATTGATGTATTGCTCTTGTTTCTTTTTTATATAACATTTCAACCACTCATCAACTCGATCTCTTTTTAGTTATATTAAATTAAACATAGAAGACTTTATGCAATTTTTATTTATAACAATTTTATAGTAATGATACATATAATAAAAACTTATACAAGCCTATATTAAGCTATATAATTTACATATTAAATACATTTTATTATAGACTAATAAAATAAATTTAAAAATTTTAAAAACATTATTCTATATAATAAAAATCACATTTCTAATAATAATATTTATGTCAGTGACAGATAAAAATGATTTTTTTTTAAAGGAGTTTTTGTGGTTTTAGATGAAGATGATTGTTTGATAACAATGCAAAACCATTGTTTATATATAAAATTTTATTTTGATTAAATAATTTTAGTAAGTTGGAATATGAACCCTATAATCAAGAAAGTAGAACAATATCAATTTTTATACATTTATTTGGCTTTTTTGAAAAAAAACTTATAAATTAACAGTAATTTTAAAATGAAAAGTTCTTCTATTGAAGATGACTTTTATAAAAATTAACAAGTTTTGCTAGTTTTTAAAGTATAAAACTCGAGTGAAACTAATAGAAAAAAATTGATATAGAGGAAGTGTTAGATGTCTTTCAAGAAAAATTTAAAATTCTAGGACGTTGCGGTAGAGAAGATATGAAGGCTTTTGATAATTGTAGACATTTAAAAAGGCACCGCAGGGAATATATTAGTTGCGACACATTTATACTATTGTCTTCATTGAAAACGAAAAAATTAAGAAGAAAAAATATATATTTGATCACGTAATTAAATAATAATGAATATTTAATATAACTAGAATAGCTCTAAATCGATACTTTTGTTCAATATACTTGATAAAACTGATTAATCACAATTAACTCTTACCCAACTTCTAATGACCATTAAAAAAAATGCTTTCACGGATTATTGTTAAAGGTAACAATGTAAAGCAATTGAAATGAGATAAAAATCTCTACTGCTTAGTTACTACCTTTGTTTAATTTTAATTCGAGCAGCAATTCCATTCAGAAAATCACGTTTATGAAGCAATATCCTATATAATTTACATATAATATGGGATATTTTATATAATATACACATTTTTTTAAAATAATTATCTAAGAAACTTTAATTTTTTTTTATAATTACTCATTTAAAGTTTGAAATATGAAGATATTAGATAAATAGAACACCTAACATAACTACTTAATTATGATTTCGACATTAACAATGATGGGAAAAACTAGCAGTAGGTCTGTTAGAATGTTATAATTCAGTTGCTCTTATATTAAAATATTAAGTAGATTTTTCAATAGATATTAATAAAATATAGGAAATATTATTTAATTTTCATTTACAGATTACTAATGATAAATACTAATAAACTAATAAATCGTATAGTTTATATTATAAAGATATTTACAGATGAATGAGAAAATTAATGACTTAATTAAAACTGATTTATTATTTTTGTTCTTAGTACTGGATGGGTCAAAATTCCATTAGTTTAAACGAATTAACAATATTTAATATGGAAATTCGTTGGAATCATTTTAAAAAATCTGAAGCTAGATGCAATAACTGATACTACAGATAAATACAGAGATATCGAATATCTCGAATTGTGTTCAAGATGCTTGAAAAAAAAATATTTATCAATAAAACTCTCGATTTTTCCATGGAAATTTATCTTGTATATTATAATTGAAAAAAGAATTTGTTATAAATGATGTTATTTACAGTGAATGTAATATTGAAATATAAGAAATGTAATAATTATTTGTCCGAAACAAGGAGTGCGAATATTGAATTGTGCCTTGTTTTAAATCTGTTTGTGAATTGAATATAATTGTTAGTTGTAACAATAAACTATTGTTTACTTTAACTTATATTTTTAATTACAATTATTTACATCCTTAATAACGCTATTAATATCAATACTTATAAAAGTTGTTTAATTCCCAAAAGTTGCAGAGAATAATATATAATTAATTTTTTTTATATATTATATAATTGTTATTAATGGAGATTTTAAAGTTATGTATTCTTTAAAATCTTTTCTTGAGGTGCACTTCCCTCAAGAATTAACCATTTTTTCATATATTATTATAAAATCAGATAAAATATACAAAGTTAAGCTTAATGTAAATGAATTATTGGTGTTTATAAAGTCTTGTAAAATTATTACAGCTAATTAAATTATAATTCTCATCTATGTATAAATATATAGTTTAATAAGCCTATAGGCTACTGTGTTTTGTTTTATTCAAGTTTGTTCATTTAAATTTATACTAAGCAATTGTTTAGTATCTTGATTATTGCATACAATATTTACTGATTGGTTGAGTATCATGTATAAGCCTGGATTAGAGCTTTGTTGTGATTTTGTTTAATGGTATAAGAAGTGCATATAAAATATTAATAAGCGCATAAATGTGAAAATTGGCAGTAGATTTTTAATTAAAAATAATTTTTTACACCAAATAAAGTATTTTAATCCAAAAAATCAATATTTGGTTAATAGAAGGAATTATACATTTTATAGGATGGCCAATTGGGTGATTAATCCGTAAAATTTACGAATTTTCTGGGCTATTTTGAGTCTTTATTTTCATCATTAAGAAACGAATAATCGTCCGTTTAGTGTAAACATACACGATCATTGCGGCGAGTATGAAACTAAAAATTAAATAAGTTATATATCATAGAATAAGCTGAAAATCTGTGAGGTAGATTTATCTTGGCAATTTTAATTGGACGAAGAGATTAAAACTCCTCTGTTTCATTAAATATTTCTTTTCTGATGTGGTGTACTAACGTTACTTCTTCCCAAACAATAATCAATGTTCTAAAACTACTCTGAAATAATGAGTAAGGGATTGCTATATGAAAAATTATTATTTGTTCTAACTGATGCAGTTCCATACATGATCAAAGCACATCAAGACTTAAATGAGTTTTCCTAGAAATGATCCGTGTAACTTCTCCTACTTATGAAGTTTATCAATTAGCACAATTGATCCGGAGTTCCTTTTTTCTATTGATACATGACAGATACATATCCGAACTTAAAGAAACGTTTGTAGATAACAGGTTTTTATTAGAATCATTGTTCTTCTTCTTCCACCTGAACCTGTCATTAAGAGATGAAGGATATGGTTAGAGATCCTTTTGCCACTACAGAGATTTTAACAAGATTAAAACTTTCATTGAAGACTATTCGCATGCAATTGAAAATACGAAGTATTTTGAAAAAATTAGAATTACCACAATTTTCTTATAAACAATTCTGCTTAAAACTTGTAATTCTGTAATAACGTCACTTCAAGGCGGTATGTAAATGACAGAAGCCGTACAACTTATGCGAAAGCTTGAAATTGAACTGCAAGGTTGATTAAATATGCACTAGCCAAAAATCCTGATTGTTTGTTAATGTACCAACAATTTCTGGAAACATCGAAAGGCTGTTTTTCATATATTTTATAAGGATTTCTACATAGAATCATTGCTCTTTTGTANGTAGAACAATATCAATTTTTATACATTTATTTGGCTTTTTTGAAAAAAAACTTATAAATTAACAGTAATTTTAAAATGAAAAGTTCTTCTATTGAAGATGACTTTTATAAAAATTAACAAGTTTTGCTAGTTTTTAAAGTATAAAACTCGAGTGAAACTAATAGAAAAAAATTGATATAGAGGAAGTGTTAGATGTCTTTCAAGAAAAATTTAAAATTCTAGGACGTTGCGGTAGAGAAGATATGAAGGCTTTTGATAATTGTAGACATTTAAAAAGGCACCGCAGGGAATATATTAGTTGCGACACATTTATACTATTGTCTTCATTGAAAACGAAAAAATTAAGAAGAAAAAATATATATTTGATCACGTAATTAAATAATAATGAATATTTAATATAACTAGAATAGCTCTAAATCGATACTTTTGTTCAATATACTTGATAAAACTGATTAATCACAATTAACTCTTACCCAACTTCTAATGACCATTAAAAAAAATGCTTTCACGGATTATTGTTAAAGGTAACAATGTAAAGCAATTGAAATGAGATAAAAATCTCTACTGCTTAGTTACTACCTTTGTTTAATTTTAATTCGAGCAGCAATTCCATTCAGAAAATCACGTTTATGAAGCAATATCCTATATAATTTACATATAATATGGGATATTTTATATAATATACACATTTTTTTAAAATAATTATCTAAGAAACTTTAATTTTTTTTTATAATTACTCATTTAAAGTTTGAAATATGAAGATATTAGATAAATAGAACACCTAACATAACTACTTAATTATGATTTCGACATTAACAATGATGGGAAAAACTAGCAGTAGGTCTGTTAGAATGTTATAATTCAGTTGCTCTTATATTAAAATATTAAGTAGATTTTTCAATAGATATTAATAAAATATAGGAAATATTATTTAATTTTCATTTACAGATTACTAATGATAAATACTAATAAACTAATAAATCGTATAGTTTATATTATAAAGATATTTACAGATGAATGAGAAAATTAATGACTTAATTAAAACTGATTTATTATTTTTGTTCTTAGTACTGGATGGGTCAAAATTCCATTAGTTTAAACGAATTAACAATATTTAATATGGAAATTCGTTGGAATCATTTTAAAAAATCTGAAGCTAGATGCAATAACTGATACTACAGATAAATACAGAGATATCGAATATCTCGAATTGTGTTCAAGATGCTTGAAAAAAAAATATTTATCAATAAAACTCTCGATTTTTCCATGGAAATTTATCTTGTATATTATAATTGAAAAAAGAATTTGTTATAAATGATGTTATTTACAGTGAATGTAATATTGAAATATAAGAAATGTAATAATTATTTGTCCGAAACAAGGAGTGCGAATATTGAATTGTGCCTTGTTTTAAATCTGTTTGTGAATTGAATATAATTGTTAGTTGTAACAATAAACTATTGTTTACTTTAACTTATATTTTTAATTACAATTATTTACATCCTTAATAACGCTATTAATATCAATACTTATAAAAGTTGTTTAATTCCCAAAAGTTGCAGAGAATAATATATAATTAATTTTTTTTATATATTATATAATTGTTATTAATGGAGATTTTAAAGTTATGTATTCTTTAAAATCTTTTCTTGAGGTGCACTTCCCTCAAGAATTAACCATTTTTTCATATATTATTATAAAATCAGATAAAATATACAAAGTTAAGCTTAATGTAAATGAATTATTGGTGTTTATAAAGTCTTGTAAAATTATTACAGCTAATTAAATTATAATTCTCATCTATGTATAAATATATAGTTTAATAAGCCTATAGGCTACTGTGTTTTGTTTTATTCAAGTTTGTTCATTTAAATTTATACTAAGCAATTGTTTAGTATCTTGATTATTGCATACAATATTTACTGATTGGTTGAGTATCATGTATAAGCCTGGATTAGAGTTTTGTTGTGATTTTGTTTAATGGTATAAGAAGTGCATATAAAATATTAATAAGCGCATAAATGTGAAAATTGGCAGTAGATTTTTAATTAAAAATAATTTTTTACACCAAATAAAGTATTTTAATCCAAAAAATCAATATTTGGTTAATAGAAGGAATTATACATTTTATAGGATGGCCAATTGGGTGATTAATCCGTAAAATTTACGAATTTTCTGGGCTATTTTGAGTCTTTATTTTCATCATTAAGAAACGAATAATCGTCCGTTTAGTGTAAACATACACGATCATTGCGGCGAGTATGAAACTAAAAATTAAATAAGTTATATATCATAGAATAAGCTGAAAATCTGTGAGGTAGATTTATCTTGGCAATTTTAATTGGACGAAGAGATTAAAACTCCTCTGTTTCATTAAATATTTCTTTTCTGATGTGGTGTACTAACGTTACTTCTTCCCAAACAATAATCAATGTTCTAAAACTACTCTGAAATAATGAGTAAGGGATTGCTATATGAAAAATTATTATTTGTTCTAACTGATGCAGTTCCATACATGATCAAAGCACATCAAGACTTAAATGAGTTTTCCTAGAAATGATCCGTGTAACTTCTCCTACTTATGAAGTNTGTTGTCCGTCTATACAAAGATTTTATAACGTTTAAAACAAATATAAGGAAAAGGTAAATAGTTTAGCCTACCTTTTTTCTTATATTTTCTGTATTTACTTGAAAAAGTTGAAGCATAAAACTATTTAAAGTTTGTCTTTATGAAAATAAATGTGTGTGTATATAGATGTAGATGAGACACAGAACATATATGTATACACTTAAACAGATTTAATAAGGATAAATATCATACTGGAATTGAAATTATATAAAATATTCTAATAGTGATGCCAGTCTTGTTAGATGAAGAAACGTAGTTTAAAATTTAGTTCAAATTCTACAGAGAAATTGCGATAATAGTGAAAAACACAGTACTGGGTACCACTTTAATAGTAAATTAGTTTTAAATAGTCTTAAAATCATTTATTTTTCTGATTTTTCATACAGAACTATATAATTATTCACTTCTTATTATTCAGTAATAATAGTAATTCAATGTAATGAAGATGAAGCTGATGATCATGTAAACATACACGAGCAAATCATACATGAGAAGTATATATGAATCTGTTTAAATGTATGTATATGCAATATTTAATCATACAGCTCTTTTGTAGTAGTTTTTGATTTTATCCTGTTTTATTCATAGAAAAGTACAATAAAACATAAACTAACTAATTTAATTTTATAAAAATTCGTCTCCAATTTTTACCACCTTTTTACACTTTTTACTTACTTTATCTAAGATCATTATCAACTGAAATTTATAGCCCTATTTATGTATTTTTTTTAAATAATCGAATTATATAATTTTGAGATTAAATTAAGTAATCTAATGAATATGACTATAATAAATTGAAGGGTTTATCATATCAGGGATTTGATCAGCTCTTCAATTTATTATAATCATATTCATTAGGCTAATCAATTTAATCTCAATTTACGTTGTATAGAACATTAAAAAAATAACTGATAAGTTAACACTTGATTACTTGAAGAATTTCATTATAGAACTATAAAATAAACCATAAAGAATTAGAAAATCAAGTTCGAAAACTAATGCTAAATATATACATAAATTATGACATTAATATTAATCTTTTAAAAGGTACAAGCTAGTCCAGTTCTTACTCAATTTGTACCTCTTAAAATATCTATTTTAATTTGTTTTTTCTTTTGTAAACTAGTTTGAAGATAAACAGACAAAATCATTATAAAGTACTTTAAAATTAAATGTTGTATACATAATAAACAATACGTGAAAATACACACGTGTAACATTTATGTAAAGTTACTTAACAAATTATTTACTAAAATGTGATTCATTTTTATATTTTTAAAAATAACATTTTTTGCAAATATTCTAATTTTTTTATTCCAATTTTCCACCCAATTTCCATTCAAATATTCCATTCTTTTATGAGTTTTGCGTGCATGCAATAACAATAACAAATATGATAGCTTATGATAATGTATTGTATGTGTATATATTTTAATGCGAAGTTTACAGACTTCACATTGAAATATAAGCCCGAATATAACATACAGTTTTATAAATTTTATAATTGTTTTCATTATACAAATGAATAATATCATTAATATAACTTATAGATTATAAAACTAATTTATTGAAGGATATTAATAAAATATACTTTAGATATGTTAAAATTGTTTATTAGTATCTATGAATATGACACTGCTTATGACAATAATAGCGCTTGGGTTTAGTTTTAACTCGTGTAACAAGTTGCGAATGCGGATACATGTTACTGTTCAGGTCAAACTACTGCAAATATAACTTTTCTAGAATTTCTAAATCGAGAATTAGATTTATTTTATTTTAATAAAAACTATTATTTTGGAAGAATTTACAGGCTAGCTCCTTTATAAAATGGTTAAAAAAACTACCATTAATTAATTAATATGTGGCATTATTCATGAAAAAGATTAAAAGGGATAAGATGAAAGAGACTATTTCTATAAGTGACAACTAAAATATACGAATAAATAAATTTAACCTTATAAATACTTAAATTTAATAGCGCAATTAATGCGTATCGATCGGTTTGAATGTAAAATAATTTAAAATTAGAAAATGATTACTAAATGCTTTATTTTAAGGGGTCAATCGCACTTTATGATCTGTATGGCCCCTCCAAATTCTGTAGATTCTTTAATTATTATTTACAATTTTTTTATTGTTATATAAATGAATTAAAACGACTTATTAATATTCGAAGTCAGTCAGTCGATCACAGGAAGACAAAGAAAAAAAAGACATACTGAAACATAAAAACAATTTCCTCGTCTTCATTCACTTATTAATTAATTTTTTTCGGCATATCATACTCGTTACCACTTTCTCTAATTTCAAAAATAGAGCGTAAAAATAAATAAATGTTTTCCTTCTCTCGTGTGACTCTTTAACCTTGACTTCTAAAACCTAGTCTCACTTCCTTCATCGATGATAACAACAGCATTCGCTGGAAGCTAGAACAGGGTCGAGAGAATTAAGGGCAGACATTTCTGGTAGGTTGTACAGCAATCACGTGGCAGTATCCAACTGTTGAAGAATTGACCCGATTAAGAGACAGCAAGCATTCGACTTTTGATTTCCATCATGAATTTCTTCAAACGATTGCTAGTATCATTACTCTCGTTTTTCAGAGTAATGGACATTGGAAGAGAAGTCACAAAAACTTTAGAAAAAGAGTATGATTACGTTATAAGTAAGTAATTTTTAAAGAGGATTTTCTCTTTTTCTTTAAAGTTATTTTAACAATAGAAATTATATATATATATAAGTGAGGCAATATTATGCATGATTAACTGCAAGCTTGCATTTGATTTTTTTTTCATTTTACTTTAAAACAGTTATTATTATTATAGGTTATTCATCTTATTTTAGTCTGTAGATTTTGGATACTTTATTTTTAATTATTGTTTTCTTTAATGAGTAAAAGGAAAAAAGAAATTTATATTTTTAAATAATTTTTTTCTGAATCAAGACACAGCTTGAGTATCCTTCAATAATATATGTATATATTTCCGCAATATAAATTAACAAAACTTAAAATTAGAAAAGGAAAGATGATCTAGAGATAATCTAGAAGATAATCTGAAGAGGAAGACATTATATATTTAACTGAATGATAAAATGTTTTATAAATTGAACTATAAATTTACATATCTTAGCCATGTTGTCCGTCTATACAAAGATTTTATAACGTTTAAAACAAATATAAGGAAAAGGTAAATAGTTTAGCCTACCTTTTTTCTTATATTTTCTGTATTTACTTGAAAAAGTTGAAGCATAAAACTATTTAAAGTTTGTCTTTATGAAAATAAATGTGTGTGTATATAGATGTAGATGAGACACAGAACATATATGTATACACTTAAACAGATTTAATAAGGATAAATATCATACTGGAATTGAAATTATATAAAATATTCTAATAGTGATGCCAGTCTTGTTAGATGAAGAAACGTAGTTTAAAATTTAGTTCAAATTCTACAGAGAAATTGCGATAATAGTGAAAAACACAGTACTGGGTACCACTTTAATAGTAAATTAGTTTTAAATAGTCTTAAAATCATTTATTTTTCTGATTTTTCATACAGAACTATATAATTATTCACTTCTTATTATTCAGTAATAATAGTAATTCAATGTAATGAAGATGAAGCTGATGATCATGTAAACATACACGAGCAAATCATACATGAGAAGTATATATGAATCTGTTTAAATGTATGTATATGCAATATTTAATCATACATTTCTATTATAAAAATAAAGTCATCGGTTAAAATGCATATTTTAAAAGAGAAATTGAGCAAATTATAAAGACTATAAAAAATAATATATTATATTTATTTATATAATATATTATTTTTGATACATTTCTGAAATTTGAGATCTCTAATTTAGATTCTTTATAGGACTACAATTCTGATTTCCAAATTTCTAATCAATGTGATTATCTTAATAACTTTTTAAAAAGACTTAAAGGCGTATCATTAAAATCATCAGTAAAGCATTTAATCGTCGTTAGTCCTTAATAAATCTGTCATTTATCAAAAGGCGTGCTTAACTTAATATTCCATGAAAGATGCAATACAGTCATAAATACTCTTAAAGTAAAAAAATCGATCCTAACAATTGGAGCATAAACTACATGTTTTAAATCTAAAAACTAGCTGAAAAATAATCTATTTTAAGATATTTAATTGAATATTTTTTCTTGTTTACATGCAGTTATATTATACCGATAATATATACGTCAATTATATTTATAATCGCTTTAATGATCGATTAATGAAAACCAATAACAGAAATTAATAATTATTAATTATATAAAGAGGCTTAAATTATTGTATTTAATTGTTTAAAAGATGCTGTATACAGAAAATGTATACATAATTAACTGTATTAGTTCGAATTGAATGATTTTTAAAACTAGAATTAGTATTATATTACTTGAACCAGTTTTACATTTACGGTAATGAAATTATTTGATAAAAATGCTAAAAGATTTCAGTATATGTTAATGATATAAGTATATATATTTCGATTATATCATTAATAGAAAATAATATATTTATTTGTTTTCTTAATTTATATGCTTTTCGTCAATATATACTTACTTACCTACCTACAAACATACATACATACGTACTGTACGTATATTCATATATACTTGCACTCTTATATTGGTGCTTTACATAATTGAGAAAACAAAAGTGCTCCATCATAATCAAAAGATTGAGAAAGGCTGTTATAAATTATTAAAATATTCATTTATTTCTGTTCATCATAAATATATAGCCTACGATTAAGAATAATTATATATTAATATATAAGCAAAATTTGATATGATGTGGTCATTTATTTATGAGTCTAATGAAAATATATTTCGTTATTACTATTGCCTGTAAGTTCAACTTTTTTAGTTTTCGAACTATTTTACGGGCAGACAAACTAATGTATGACATAAGAAAAAAATATTAGTAGTTTTTCACAAATTCTACTATTTTTTCGACGATTTAAATTGAAAAACAATCCTAGAAAGTAAATGAGATTCAAAGAAAAATAAATACGAGTAAGAAAAATTGGTAATTTTAGATATCGTTTTCATGAAATAGGTCTGAAATTCTTTAAAACTTTAATTAATTGCAAAATTAGAATAAAATTCATGCTAAATTCCCCTATTCTAGACTATAAATGAACTATTTATTTATCTATAATGTCGTAAATGTGCAATTTAGATAGTTTGCATTGTTTTCCTTTTACAGTTGGAGGTGGATCAGCGGGAGCAGTTATCGCTAATCGTCTTTCTACAGATCCTAGGAATAAAGTATTACTGTTAGAAGCAGGAAGCAATGAAAACTTAATCACAGATATTCCATTTATTGCTGTCGGGTTGCAATTATCTCCAGTTGATTGGGGCTACATGACAGAACCTCAGAAATATTCATGTTTCGGTTTAGAAGGAAGGGTAAGCTTTAAATAATTATTTAAATGCCTTTACAGTTTATAGAAAAATATAAAAGAAACAAAACAAATATGTGATAATTCATTTTTTTCGAATGAACTTCAAACAATAACCTATAATTCAAGAGACTGTAGAAAAAAATACTTATCATATGTAATTATGAAAGCCTAAATTTTAAATGGAACAAGAGTAGGGGATTTGAATTTTAAAACGCTTACTAAATGATGATNATCTATTAATTTTGCTGTTTTCATATGTTACAAAAGTATGTTTTATATCAAATATATTTTTTTAGAATTTATCTTTCTTTCTAATCTCTGATTTTAGACTAATTAAACATTACCATAGAATTGCTCGCGAATAAAATTAATGACATAGTTATGTATTAATGTTTTAGATCTTATTTGATAAGTACAAAAGAGCTAGAGCCGTTCAATTCGATCGTTTTAACAAAACTTATATTGTGTATGCCAGAAAAGAGATTATTTTATCTGCGGGTGCTATAAATTCACCAGTATTATTAATGTTGTCGGGAATTGGTCCTGGAAAAGATTTAGAGAAATTTGGGGTAAGGATTAAAAAAAAAAAGATTAAATTAAAAATCATTATACATCAAGTACGAAAATCATTATACAATTCATATATCATGTTACAGATTCCGGTCATATCAGATCTGGCAGTCGGTTACAACCTCCAAGATCATATTTATCCACTTGGATTGAGTTTTTTGCTGGAGAAACCTGTCTCTAACGTTTTTTATCGTATGTTCAATGCAGTTAATGGAGTGCGATTTTTTGTTTCTGGAAAAGGTGTGTTAGTTATCAAGGTTTATATTCATAAAATATCCTTTACAACTAATTTTACGTCGTCAAAATAAATATGTAATTTCTTTTTTCATAACAATAGACCTACATTCTGTAATAATAACTACAGTATGAACCACGTGCTATTGTATAATATAAAATCAAACTTCTAAAATAGCTGTATTAATTGAGTAATGTGAATTTTTGTGTGTAAATGGACAGACCATATCCTGTTAAAGAGGGGTTTAGACAACTTCATCCCCTAACAATTTTAATTAAAATACTTATCAAACGATCAAAATTCCTATATGAAACATAGCTCATGCAAAGTAAGGAAGTTACAATAATATTAGAACATGTAGGCCATATATTATTCACAATCAAACAGATACAAGTGATCGGTGACATACAAATATATTAAAAAATCCAACTCACGCCTTACGGATATTAAACTGAGATTACATCGAAAGGTTATCATACTTTAAAACAATAATAATAAATCTACATCATCATCGTTTATTGTTTATTGCATAGCAAACAGCTATTGTTTAATAATGAGTTGTAAAATGCTGTAGGTTGGATAATGGAGGATTTATTCTATATTTTAGAACTAATTTTTTAATATGGCGTGTGTATTATAAAACTTTTAAAAATAACTTATAATATGTATAAGCTACTTGTTTACCTAGTTCTCTTGTGAGAAGTATTGTTTAATTTCTTTTAAAATATTTTTTATCAAGCAAAAGTATTTTTCATTAAATTATTTTTTTACTTCTTATCAAAGTTTAACATATTAAATTCTACTTAAAAATTAACTGAATCGGTGAACCCGAAAACAGGAAAGTATTATCTTCTGTATCATACAGTGTATTTTTATAAAGAAATTTTTATCTGTAAAGTTAAATTAACTTACTTCATGATTAAGTTATTCTTTTTTTCATTTTAGTCTGTTATTAAGTGCTTCTTTATTAAACTGAGCAACCAAAATATATTTATTCTAGTTTTATGAGCTGGTAGAGATTACTGTAATTATCTTTAGACAGTAGTTTAATTAAAAATTAATATTGAAAACAATGTCTTCACTTGTCATATTCACACAATGATAAGAAATATTTACATTACATTATATAATATATAGTATTGTACAGTAATGCAGTCAAGCTCTCTTTTACAGACTTAACAGGGTTAAAGTTATTAAGCATGTTTTACTTTTTGAAAACTGTCCTAATTTTATCAATAATAAAACCTGGTCATCATTTTCTAGGACATTTTCAATTTGAACGTCTAATTTTTTCTTCTCTTTCTTTTTTTTAATATATAAATCACGCATTTTACTTTCCTACCTTTAATAATTACTCATATCTGAAACGCTTTTTATAAAATTATAATCACGAATATACTCAAGGATAAATTATGTAAAATATTCAAATCTTAATTAAATGATATAAATTTTATGTTTTAGCGTTCGAAATGGCCGAGAGGAAAAGTTTTGGGAGGATGCAGTGTACTGAATTATATGCTTTACGTTAGAGGAAATCGTCGCGATTATGACAATTGGGCTAGGAAGGGAGCTTATGGATGGGGATGGAGAGACGTCTTTCCCTATTTTCTAAAATCTGAAGATAATCTAGATCCGGATATGCTTGATAATGGTAAATTTCGAACGATTTAATTAAGTTTAAATTTTGAAATAACGAGTCAAACATCATTTGATATGCAATTATATTAATTATATAATCAAGTTATGTTTTGAATTAATAAAAATTTATCTAAATCTAAAGTTTTCGTAATAAAATACGAAAAACGTTTTTAAATTTTTCTCTTTTTAGTACCAGAAAAATTATTAAAGAATACTAAGTTTTAATAAACTGGTTCCGACTTAATTCGGTTGTCAATAACCTATAGAAATATAACGATTATATGTAAATATCGTATACACTTTCGGTATATATGGAGTGTTATTATTCTTAACAATATATATATATATATATAAACAGTATAACTATTATTCGTTTCTTATCAAATGAAAACAAACGACATGGTCATTTCTAGGTGATAAGAAATAAATAATTTAAATAATAATTAAGGAATGGATAAACAATTTCGAAGTAGTAGATATAAAGACATAGACATAAAGATTTTTAAATAACCCAAATATAATTTTATATATTTTTATGGATCATTTTAAGATTTCGAATTGTATCCAACACTTTATTTTAGGTTTCCACAGCTCGGGAGGTTATCTAACAGTTTCTTCTCCTATATATTCCACTCCTTTAATGGATTCGTTTTTAGAATCGGGGAAGATTTTCGGATATCCCAATGTAGATATCAATAGTAAGAGACAAACAGGTAAATAATGCCACGCTTAAATTACTCAATAAAAATTCTATAATATGAACGTGATTAAAGATATCTAGAATAATATTTTTAAAAAATTATTATTATTGTTTTTTTAATTTTAGGTTTCTCTTTCCCACAAACCACAACTAGGAAAGGGAAGCGATGCAGCACTAACAAGGCTTTCTTGAAACCAGTGAAATATCGTTCCAATCTATTAATTTTGCTGTTTTCATATGTTACAAAAGTATGTTTTATATCAAATATATTTTTTTAGAATTTATCTTTCTTTCTAATCTCTGATTTTAGACTAATTAAACATTACCATAGAATTGCTCGCGAATAAAATTAATGACATAGTTATGTATTAATGTTTTAGATCTTATTTGATAAGTACAAAAGAGCTAGAGCCGTTCAATTCGATCGTTTTAACAAAACTTATATTGTGTATGCCAGAAAAGAGATTATTTTATCTGCGGGTGCTATAAATTCACCAGTATTATTAATGTTGTCGGGAATTGGTCCTGGAAAAGATTTAGAGAAATTTGGGGTAAGGATTAAAGAAAAAGATTAAATTAAAAATCATTATACATCAAGTACGAAAATCATTATACAATTCATATATCATGTTACAGATTCCGGTCATATCAGATCTGGCAGTCGGTTACAACCTCCAAGATCATATTTATCCACTTGGATTGAGTTTTTTGCTGGAGAAACCTGTCTCTAACGTTTTTTATCGTATGTTCAATGCAGTTAATGGAGTGCGATTTTTTGTTTCTGGAAAAGGTGTGTTAGTTTATCAAGGTTTATATTCATTATAAAAATGTTTATGCTTATATAATTAATCTCATTGAGATATCTTAACCCAATTAAAACCATTTTCAAGGACCCTGGACTATACCCGGTGGAGTTGAAGGTTTAGCTTTTATTAATACACGTTATGCTAATATTTCGGACGATTATCCTGATATACAAATACATTTTGCATCGGGAAGCATGTCTTCTGACGGTGGCGATTTTCATATGCCGGCTGGCGGGATAAGTAAAGCAGTAAGTAAATTATAATGAGTTATAGTTTTACAATTTAAACATATTTATAGAATTTCCTGAACATTTCAGACATGGAATTCCTTTTATGGACCACTTTCTAATCGTGATACATTTTCCATGTTGCCAGTATTACTTCGACCCAAGAGTCGTGGTTACATAAAGTTAAGAAGTGCAAATCCTTACGATCACCCAATTATAGATCCAAATTATCTATCGCATCCACATGATATTATGGTCATGGTAGATGGTAAGTTTATGCAATAGAGCATTATTTAAAAATATTTATTTCCACTTAAACATTCCTTAATTAAATCAATGTTAAATTAAAGTTACATCTAGAATAAATATGAAGCAAATATAACTACAGTACTTTAAGTTTTGATTGTCACGCTATACCTCACAGGCAAATTTTATCACATGAAAAACTAAGTGTAAATTATTATATTTTAAATATCCAAATTATTAATATAGATTTTATCAATTAGCCTACATCTAATGAAAATATTTCATATTTTTCACAATTTAACTTAACATTTTTTTTAAACATTTTGACTAATACTTCTCTTCTATTTTATATGTATAAATTTAGTGTTATCATTTCAACATAACAATTTTGGGCTTCTCATAAGTGGTTATATCTTATATTTAGTTACAAATTTAACATTATTTTTACAACCACTTTCTTTTTTACAAAAATTGTCTGTCAGTCAAAAGATATTCGGCTGCATGCCCCATTGTAAAAGTCGACTGAAAAAGTACAGACAATTTTTGTAAAAAAACGTGGTTATAAAAATAACGTTAAATTTGTTTACCCTCCCCTATAACACGGGTTCATATAGTACGGATTCGTATAACACGGCGAAAAAATTGCGATCGTATTCGTTCGTATAAACACGCTAAAAGAGACTCATCGCCGACTCGTGTCGCGACAGGATTGGTCGAATAGACCAGGGGTCGGCAACCTTTTGAGTCGGAAGAGCCAAAAATTACAATTTACAAAATTTCAAAGTTTTTAAAGAGCCACAAAATTTTTTCTTGCCAACAATAAATAGTACTCGCATAAATAAAGTTTTCTGATAAAATATACTACAGTAATCTATTTATTCAGAATTGTCTTACGTCGAAAGCGAATTAAACCTCATAGAAACATCCGACGTCGGCGTCATTCGAGAGCTTCCGACGGACTGACGACAGTGACGACGCGTGTCACGGGGGAGGTGTGCGATGAAAAGCGAGTACAAGTGGCTGAGAGATAGAATCGGTGCCTAATCCTCGTTAATCGATTCACAACGATTTTTAAATGTTTTTTTTCTTATAAAATAAATAATATTTGCGTATGGAACTAAAGAGCCGCATGTGGCTCGCGAGCCGCAGGTTGCCGACCCCTGGAATAGACCAATAACGGATATTGCACAAACTGTTGAGTTTAAACGAGCAGCAGATCTATTAAAAACCATTTATTATTTAACGGCCATAAAGATTATATTTATATTAATGCTGTCTCCAAAGTTAAGCGAATTTTTCGCAGAAAAATAACTTATCAGAATATACGCGACCGCCGTTCGATGCGCCGCTCCGCGACGAAAACAAGCTTAAGCAATGGCGTCGTCGAACGGTGCACACCACTCGGTAAGTAATCCTACAATTTTTTGTTTATAGCATAGTTTATATGGATTATTCCCAAAAAATTATACGTGTTTTGGAAATGTTGAGTCAAATTAGTCTAGAATCGATTAATTTTATGGAAGAAAACCTTTCAAACAGCCGTAGTCCGTAAACTGCACACCTGCCGGATTGTGATTGGCTCATGTATTTATGTGGATGGTAAAATACGGAATTCATATATAACGGAAGGTATCTACCGTATTATAGGGGAGTCTACTGTCAATATATGATGTAACCACTTATGAGAAGCCCAAAATTGTTATGTTGAAATGGTAACACTAAATTTCGAGCTTAATATTTTTGTATAAATTCGTACGATATTTTGAACAGAAATTTTGAAATATTTTATATTAAATTTTTATATATAAGCAAAATAAAATTATTTTTATATATGTGAATAAGAATTAAAATTAAATACTGTATAAACATTTGAAAATTGTAAATGATAGCATTATTTACCCCATTTAAATAAGACGAATGGCATATCCAGTAGCTGATCACGTTTGAATTGATTTTCGTTTCATTAAATTCAAATTTCTATTCAATTCGTGAGAATAAAATTTGAAAAATGCCCATAATTAGTAAATCTGTTTTAAAATAAAATATATCACTTTCTGGTATATATTTAAAAATTGATGTATATTGCCTTTCAAACCGTGTTTGATGAATTTATTGGACTTCGAACTCAAAATTGAGTTTTAAATAAATACTTGGTTTTATTTCCATCTCCATTTAGTTCAACTAAATGGAGATGGAAATAAAACCAACTTTAGTTGAACTAAATGGAGATGGAAATAAATTGATGCAAATATTTCTAATTTATTACGTCAGAAAATATGTAATGTTTAGTAACTAAACAAAATATAAACTTTATAAAATTTAAAAGTTTATTTTCTGTAAATTATGGCAATATTAAAATATATTTTGCATATTTTTAAAATTTAAAACAAACAATGTATAGCATTGAAATGTTTTTATTTAATTAATTTTTATTTTCCCGGCTGTTATACAGGGCGTATCAGAATGACATTTTAAAAATTTGGGGTATTGTAGAGGATGAAATGTGGAAAGTTTTGATATAAGGAACCTATAGCCGGAAATATGATATAAAGTTTCTACAGCGTTAGGAAGTGCTTGACCGTCCTTCACTTTTGTAGTTACCCTTTCGTCCATTGACGTCATGTTATTGTTCTTGACTTCTTTTTCTGAAGTTATGTAAAGTCCCTTGCGTACGCAACACCTGTAGGAACAGTTCATGAGCTTACGGAGCGCATCTTTACAGCATTTAATACCATCAAAGGGGAGCGTGGCATCTTATGGAGAGTCGGACAAAACATGGTTCGTCGTTGCACATTATGTAACGAAGTTGGTGGTCGTCACATTGAACATTTACTCTAAAGTACTGCAGCCACTGATTCGATGTACAGTTTGATTGTACTGTACTATTTTGTCAATAAAACTTGTCATAAATACTGTATTCTGCTGTTTCATTCAGCATACCGACTGCAAAGTGCAAAGTGCTGTAGAAACTTTATATCACATTTCCGGCTATAGGTTCCTTATATCAAAACGTTCAAAATTTCATCCTCTACAATCCCCCAAATTTTTAAAACGTCATTCTGATACACCCTGTATATAACAGAGGGAGAGTATGGCGATCGGTAAAAAAAAAATGGGCCCCAAGATTTTTACATTTTTGGATTCAGGACACCTTGAAACATCGAGAAATGAAAAGGAAAAAAAGGGAGTATTTTCTGTATGTTAGTGTGTGTGGGTGGCAGGATTTTGTTTACCTTCTTTGAAGCTTAATAACTCCTGTACTTTCTGTCAAAAATTTCTGAAAATTTTCAGGTTTGTTTATTAAGGGGATTGATGCTATTAAATTTTGGTGATTATAAGTAGTGATGTGCCGGATCGTTAAAAATGTATATCTGCGGATACGGATACAGATACGTTCATTAGTGTCTAGATCCGCGGATACGGATACGGATACGCATCTCAACTTTCTTAACAGTCGGCGCCGGTGTGTGTGACCTTGGACCGATAGTTGACGCTTTGTGTTAGTAACGCGACGTGTTTTGACTTGCACTGCGTGTGTTTTTGTTTATAGTTTAGTGTGGCACGGTATAGCGTAGATTACGTTTGTATTTTTGGAGAGTGTTGAGTTAAATTAAAATAAAAACAATGTTGGCAAAAAAGTTTAGTAGTGTAACATGGAAATATTTTACGATAGTAAATGAATTTTGCATGATAAAATTTTTGCAATGTGAATGTGCCAAATATGTGATTTTAAGAAATAAAAAGTGATTCGAATTGACGTTATTAGTATTTTATTGCTACCTATCTTTAAAATTTCATATAAGTAATGAAATTCATTAAGATAAAAGATCCGTTAAAGATCCGCTAAAAAGTAACGGATACGGATACGAATATGGATCTTTTTTCCCTCGGATATCCGCGGATACGGATATCCGACACATCACTAATTATAAATCTACGAGTGGGGAGATAAAGGGATCGTGTGTATCCCCAATAGGGTCGGACTTAATGACGATTTCACTCGTTATTAGCAATTACAATTTTTGTAAAACCCATCCCTCCCCTCAAAATTAAGCTTCTTGCCATTTTGTAGTAGTTACAGATATAAAAAGTTTTAAAACAAAATATGTTAACAGAAGGCGCCAGCAAATGTTGCGGGGAAAGTTAAGCAACTCGTTGATGGATTTTTTGAAATATTTTTATATAAAAATCTTGTCGGATCTCTTTCAATCATCCAATTTTTTTTATTTGTTTTATCTTGATATAAATCTTTAGCATTTATAATGGAAATCTGCATGTGTTAATAAAAATATGCTTTTAAGATAAGTTTTAAAATATAATAGCATCTAGTAGACTATATATGAAACTATATTTAATGAAGCATTGTTAGTGTATAATTTAATATATTATATCTTAAATTGAATGATTCATTTTAATTAAGAATTAAACATTTCACGAATTGATTCTAAAAAAATATCAACGTATAGAATTAAGGGCAATCAGAAGGCCTTTAAAATTTACATTTTGCTTTTTAATACTATTAGCATTTATCCACGGCTGGGATTTGTATTGGCAAACTAGATAACTCTTTAAAGTCCGGATTTGACAATGGTTTATAAATTAATTTGTAAATTTTCATGTAAATAAATAAAATTTTGAGTGTATAGTAAATAATATGAATACAGTAAAATTCGCAACTTTTCCAAGCTGCGAATGTTTCAGTGAAAATATGACAGTTAAGTTTATATAAGTTGTGATTAATGTCAAATTACACAGAAAAAACTTGAATTTATTTGTATATTTTAGTTTATAAGCATTACACGCTTAGTAAAATTGTTTCAGCTTTTGAACAACCCCTCCATTTTCTTCATCAATTAGATACTGAAGATATTGTATGGTTGATTTGATTTAGAGATGCAATGGCGTAAAGCCAGCCAAGCATATCTTTCAGATATGCTTGGCTTTATCGACATCCTCCAAGTTTATTTTGGAGATCCTTCTATTTTTTTTTTTAAATTTTTAAAACTCTTTCCTCCCTGTGGGCACTAAGAGGGCCTCTTTCTAGCAAGCCGATTAAAAGGGCCTGGCCCTTTTCCGAAGCTAGAAAAGGGCCAGGCCCACCATGAGACGGCCGGGTGGTGAGGGACAGGGTACGATATATCCGGATATTTAATGTAATTGAAGCTAAATCTAAAATTATAGATAATGCTGAGCTCTAGGGATTGTATTAATATAAATGAATATGCCATAGATTTTTCGTAACAATAGATCAATTTGTAATTTGATTTTTTTCTGTTGGGTGGCGTAATTTATTCAGAATAGATATTTATGAGTAGAAAAATCGTATGAATTACTTTTAAATTTTGTATTAAATTCTGGCATCGAATTTTAGTTTTAGTTATTACTCAAATTACTATTCGATTTGGAATTATTTCTGTTTTATTTTTTGTACAGAAGGATAAAGTTTGTTAATAAATTTTATTATTAATATATCAAAAAATGTCTAAGGACAATAAATTTTTTAACCCTTAAAAACAAAAATAAATCTATCAATAAAAAATACACAAGGAAACAAATAAATTATTAAAAAGTGCAACAAACATATACAAAGAATATAAATAATATAAAGATAAAACTAAAATTATCATTAAAATTTAAATATAAATTTAAGAAAATACAAATGATTATTAAAAATATAATCGTACGTAAGCATATGTAAAATATGAAAGTACAAAAATTTGAAATAACTGGAAAAAGGAATTTAAACCGCAGAGAAAATTAAATAAATTTACTTGTTTAATTAATAAATATTTTAAAAGTTACAAATAATTTTACATAATTATAAAATTTTGCACGAAATAAATAATTTCCTTTAGAAAGCAAATTATTTTTATTAGAAATAAAAGCTTTACTTGGCATGTTTTACAGGAATTCGAAAAGAATTAGAAATTTAAAAGTGAATCACACTTAAACTTTTAGGGTTTATCACACTGACTATGTTGACAAGAGGAGTTTATTAATTAATTATATACATCCATTTATATAAATACATTAACTTTTATGTACAAAATTATCAATCTAAAATGCATTTCGGGCTTTATAATGGCCTCTCTTCAGTTAGACAATTTAGTAATGTAAACATTAGGTATGTAATATCAATTAAAATTAGAACAGATATGTAACAAAGACAGCTGAAAATTAAAACCAAACTTGTAAATATCCACAAATACAGCAACCAATAACAAATATTACTAAAGTATATTTATTATTAGTTGCTATCTGCAGACTCTTCCTTCAAGTCAGTGTGATAAGCCCTAAAAGTTTAAGTGTGTAGTAACACAAAAATTGTAATAGTTATAATAAAGGCAAGAAGTTGTAGTAATATAATATAAAAACGTTTTGGTATTTGAATTGTAAAATGTCTGCCTGTTACTTAACTTTCTTCGAAAATTAATCAAGCCACTTTTTTCCATTATTGTTTCGAAATAAACGTTTTTCTAAAGGTATAAATTTATGTTATTTCTAAAAAATGCGTAAAATTCAATTTAATGTGATATTAAAAATACGAAAGAAGTAAGCCAACTGTATCAATTTTCATTCTAAAATATGCAATAATGCCATATAAATCCATGCAAAAATTTCGGCACAAAAATAATTATAATAAACTAGAAAGCCAAATTTTAGGGGAAAAAATTAATTATTATAAAATGAAATGCACAATTCGCTCTTTGACTGTGTTAGCAAAACACTTCAGCATATTTCTAAAAACTCTTTTAGCCCGAGGGCTTTTTCACCAAGGTCATTATGTGTTCGGTCAGGTCTACAATGGAACTGTGTGGTGAGGAATCGGGCCTGACATATCCGGATTGACCATCTCCGGGAAAATTCCTGGGGTTTTTCGAATCGTCTCGATTCGATCTCGGATCCCTAAGTGATAGGCTGTCCATCTGTCACTAACTTATTGTTTTGTTTTATTAAGTTATGGCAATGCAACAATTGGGCGATCTGCCTAGAGGGATGCCTTTTAAAGAGTAACTGGTCGTTATTCAGGCGTTACATCCCGGAAAACTCCACGTGGCTAGCCCGTCCTGGAGAGGCACGAACCCACGACCGAATTCCCTGTGTTCAGGGAACAGAGCCGCTTGGCTATTGGTGGGCCCACTTCAACTTACAACTGTTAAATTAATATTTAATTGAAGAATGAATATTTTGAGTTAAAAGCGATTCTTTCAGTATAGTTTAATACTGAAAGATCATTTCAATTCAAGCTCTAATACTCTTTACGTAATTATTTAACTTGAAGTAACAGTATATTAAAAGTAGAAAATTTAATGATTGAGATCAAATTACCTATATTTTTCAATCTTACTTAATTTTCGTAAACTTGGCATGGATTTCTGATTTCATTCCAGTATTTTTTCGTAGATCAGATATAGGCCTATTTATTATTCAAGAGATTTCAGAATCAGAGCAGATAAACTTGGCTTAGTTTTATCATATTAATTCAACAAATGATAAAATCATAAATGTAAAAGCAAAGATTTTAGATTGATAGATACTATATATCATTCTTATATAAAATTAAAGTAGTGTATTTGCATGATTGAAAAATTATAAGAAAAAATATAAAATTTTCAAAGAAATAAATCAGTTTAGATTTTATTAATCTATTGTTTATTATAAGAGAACTTAATAAGTGAGAATTGAGAAATATATCGACTAACGTATAAAACAAATAATTTAAAAATGCTTTTAATTAATAATAGATAATTAATAAATATTTAAAATGCATTATAATATAATTTAGCACTCATTTTTGTGGGAATAAATGTATTAGCACCATGAAGAATTGAATAGTTTCAGAATATTCTTGATATTGATATTGCTCATTCGATCGCTCTCACCTCAACTCTATTTACTGTAATTATTTTTTTTATTGCACTCTTAGGATACATAACCACTTAATTTTATACGAATGCATAATGCAAATAGATTTAATTCAATGTATTGAATTAATTTATTAATTAATCTCACAATTATTTACAATAAAAACCGAAACAGTAGCATTATATTGATATTTATTAATTTTACACTTGTTTGTTTTGTATCTACTTCTTTTATGCATTTTTTAGAACTAATTTACGATAGGATAGGATAAACATTAACCGCTACACTTAAAACTGTTATTTATATAACTTTTCAAATATGTGCAAACATAGATATAAATAAGAATTATATAAATATTAGAGATATAAAATTTACGTTAAAAAATAATTAAGTTAAAATAGTTCTAGGTTGATGGAATTTAATAAAAACATCAAAAATAACTCTCAGTGGTTTAGAAATGTGCTGAATGCATTAAATTGCTATTGAGTAAGTTTATGCCATTGAAAGTTTTGTGTACTGTTTTTCCAATTAAATAATATATCATTTTATATACAGTCTTAAATTTTCTAGGCTGTAACCGTTCGAAACCACTTTATTACTTTATTCTTTATTATGCAAATTTATAAAAGAATTTATATTTCAGCGTATAAAAGTAGTTAAACAAGTAAAAGCTTGTGCTTTTAATTGTTTACCTACTTTTATATATGCTGAAATATAAATTCTTTTATAAATTTGCATGTATAATTTAAGCTTAGGAATTATAGAACAGTTTTAAACACAGGTTAAAAAGCTGAAAAAGAAGAGTCAAAGATGATTAAGCTTGTGTAATTACAATATTCTAACCAATATCCTGTAAGTTGTAGTGATTCGATAGACTTTGGGGTATATTCAAAGTAATTTCTGATAAATTTAGTAATATCGAATCTAAATACATTTTCCAGAATGTTTAACATAATTTCTGCTATTTTTCTTGGAATTTTTGCCAATTTTTCTATCTTATTATGAAGAATGTTATAAATATCGACAAGTACTGTACATTGAGTAGTAAACTACGCGAATTATCTGCAATGTATTTCCGATCTAGTTTTTAATATTTTAAAATGTGACGCCAAGTAAGATAAGTTTGGTAATCGTCAATGTAAAACATTCTGAAAAATGTATTTAGATTCAACATTATTAAATGTATCAGATATTATGAATAAAAATAAAATATACCTCAAATCTGTATGGAATCACTACTACTAATGTATGATACCTATATTAAAGATGTACAGTACATTTCTTTTTGGAATCTTATTAAGATAAATTATAATGACACTAAATGAAATAATGTCTAACATAAACAATATTACTTACTTTAACAGAAAATTTTGAGATTAATTTAAGCACATTACTTAAATTAAATATAATAAAATTTATTTACTTTTTCTACATATTGCATTCTTAGAATATTTTTACATATTTAAAATACAAAATTAACAATATATTAAATGCGTATTGTTCATTGCCTTTTGCCCTTAGTTAAATTAAAATTTTTTGGTGATATATTCACTGGTGTGATAATCCCTAAAATTTAAATAACTGGTTTGATTATCACCAAAAATATATTATACGTTTAGATATAAATTCCCTAAATTATAAATTTATAATTATCATAATTGTAGGGATGAAGAAGAGTGTGTTGCTAGGAGAATCTGAAGCATTTAAAAAATACGGAGCACGCCTTTTTCCTACTAAGGTACCTGAATGCCAAAGATATCAAAAATTAAGCGATCAACACTTGGAATGTCTTGCTAGAACACTAACTACGACTATTTATCATCCTGTTGGTACTTGCAAAATGGGCGCTCCAGATGATCCAACAACAGTTGTCGATCCCGAATTAAGGTTTGTAATTTAAATATTTAAAAACACCTATTATTGTTTCTTAAAAATTATTCTCATAGAGTTAGATTTTAATATTAAATTGTTAAAATATGTAAACATGAAATTTTATTTTGCTTTGCCATTAGTTATACTGAGAAGTATTCACACAATTTTAATATTTTTCATAATTTAAAATGTATTATTATTACGTTGTATTGTTGGGATGTATCCTACACGGCATGTTTACCGATGCCTAGTGCTTTACTGCACCAATATCAAGGCATAATTACAGAAAACAAATGTTTTGTTTGCGAGCTGTTTATGTACAGTACTTCTCTGTGTTTAAGAATTTCCTATGTGAAATGTGTTTAGTATGGCTGCCTTTTATAGAATGATGTATTTATAGTTGTGAATCTCTAATGTTTCGAGACTTCTGTGTAATGTATATGGTATGACACTTGTGCAATCAAGATTACTGGCACAATAAGTACCTCAGCCATTCTCTTCAAATGCTTCATTTCGTGGGCAAGTTCTTAGTATTTAGTAATTTTTTCAGTGTATGTATTTTGTTTGTTGTGGGTATTTGGTACAGCTATATCTGTGATGTATATGGGTATGTTTTGTTTATCAATGAGCATGACGTCTGGTCTGTTTTGATGGATTGATTTGTTTGTGATTATGGCACGGTCATAGTATATTTTGTTTGTTGTTTTCTATGACCGTCTGAGGCGTCTATATTTAATTTGGTTAGTTTTGTATGTAGATATTTGTGTTTGTGTGCAAGCTTTTGATGTGTTATATTTGTTATTTTGTTAGATCGATGTAAGTAATCAGTTTGGGATATGATGTATTGTATGATTTCGTGCATGATGTGATACTTCCTACAAGTGCCATCTGTATATAGTTGTGTCTTTTAAAATGTACTTTTTGTACTGTATTTTTGATCTGATCTTCTGTATGGCAATCAAGAACCTTTCTGTCTCTCCAAAGAATAGAGCTAAGAGTCAGCAGTTTGACGCAGTTATGTCAACGTGATCCTGGCTGAATCGTTAGGATACCTACAACAGAGCTTCTTTAGAGCCCATGAGTGTGATGGTATCTGTACGTTTTGTGAACTGTGTTAGATCCTGTAAGTGTTTAACAGTGTACTGTTTTTGTCTACAAGAGTTATTGCTTTGTGTAATTATAATGTTTCTGTTTTCTGTTGAAATACTCTCGCGGTGTTTGTGATGAACGTTTATACATCTGCGAGGTCCCGTACTTCCTTTTTAAGAGGAAGAGTCAGCTTTCTAAGGATGACTTATGGTTGTTGTGTTTTGTTAATATTGTTTGTGTTTACCTTTGGAGTTATTCTAGTTCTGCGTGTGTAAATTGTATAACTCCAAAGAAATATGTCAATACTTGGATGGCACATGTTTTTATTGCATTCAGATATTTTATTAGTATTGAGATTATTGTTTTGTAAGTCTTTGTTTTATTTGTGCATATTCTATGTAGGAATAGTTATTGAGATAGAGAAATAGAAATGACAATAATCCAGCGGTCGTAACCGTCTTGATAGAATGATAATATTCTCGCCTTCGTAACGTCTTTTTGTCCTTTCTCACTTTCGTGTCGTTCCGAACTGTCATCTTTCTCACTTCTCCCCTTACTTGACTCTCTCCTTCGTTCTCCTCGCCTCCCCCGCAACCCCTCGTAAATTTATTGTCTTAACGGTTTAGGAATGTTACTCGTCTAAACCCCACATTCGGCCATTCTGACAGCTAACGAAGTATTCCACTAGTCAGACGAGGACATCGTCCCCGATGTCCTCGTCTGATCGGTGGAATACTTCGTTAGTTGAACGGACCCACGGTTTCATGTTGTCCGCTTGCAGTTTTTTAATTAATTTAATGTTCTCCCTTGCTGTTACTCTAATTTTTGCGGATTTTCTAGACCGTCTTCGATATTTTGAATCACGTGATTGAGTATGATTGTCACGTCGTCTTTGATCAGGACTTCTCGATCTAGATCTATATTTAGATCTTTCTTTCATTTTTTTTTCTTTCTTTATAATATCCTCTTCTATTATAATAAGATCTATCTCTACTTCTGCTTCCATGTTTTCTACTTCTTGAGCGTCTATTTTGTCTCATGTCACGTTTTCGATCATCTGATCTACTATGATAATTTTGTCTGTGTTTTTCTTCTTCCTTTTGCTTTCGTTCTTCTTGCTCTCTTTCTCTCTTATGAACAATTTCTTCACCTGCTGATTTTAATCTTGCGTAACCAACATGCTGTTTTTCCATTGAATGATCATCAGCGCGTTGCTGTGCGTCACCACGTATAAAAAAGGCACCACAAACTTCCATCTGTTTCTCCTGAACAACTGCAACTTCTGCTTGCTTAACGTTTGATGCATGACGTTGCTGTAACCAATGATTAAGTTCTGAAGACTTATGTGAATCTTCTTTTTCTTCTTTTGACTGGTCATACCATTTTATAATGAAAGTTAGATATACCCCTTCGATTTATGCTCGTACCCCTAGGGGTACACGTACCCCCAACTGAGAACCACTGAATTAATCAATATATCCCTCTACAATATGATATTATATTGAATTGTTCGGAAAGTAATTTTTGTTATTTTGTAAAGTTTCGTTATTCCTTGCTCTTCTACTATTCCTTCATCATCTGTGGATGGTTCAGATGTTTTGTGTAACCATTCTTCCATCTCCTTATTAACTTCAGCCTTCTAACTAGCAGATAGCTGTCTTGGATGTTGACAAACTGGAGCATCATTTTTTAAAATAATGTTCATTTTTATCTCTGTTTCTTGTTCCCTGGCTGCTTTGTAGTTTCTTGTTGGATTCAGAGGCTCTCCTCTATATTTTGCATCATTGGTGCGGCTCAACCAACACCACCAACATCAACGCAGGCAACATCGATATCGTATACGTCTGAAATGTTTACTTCTACACTTCTTGCTTTAATAAATTTTACAACACGATCTTCTTTTAAACTGATATGAACTTGTTTCAGAAAGTCTGCTCCCAACGATAACTGATAAGCAAGGAATGAACTTGGAACCACATGTATGGGGATTGAAAATTGGTCTTTGTCAACACTTACTACAGTCCAAAAACTCCCTAGTGTAGAACTCTTTCGTTCACTTACTCCATGAAATTCTAAGAAATTACCAATTAATTTTGGTGCGCCCAACTTTACGTAATCATCGGCTCTCATTAAATTTATGTCACTTCCTGAATCTATAAGTGCCGTGAAGCTCACTTCCTCTATTTTGACTTATTTTATAGGTTTTGACTTAAATTCTTCTACCTTTACTTCATAACTTCTCTTCTCAACATTTTGAGGACATTGAGCCGAAATATAACCAAAATTATTACAACTAAAACATTTTATTCCTTTGTCTTTTTCCGGACAACTTTTACTCACATGGTTTTTCCCGCCACAGTTATAGCAACGTTTTTCATCTCCATAAGAATTATTAGGCTTAATCTCATGCCCTAGCTTCTTAGATCCCATCGTCATTATAGCATTTGGCTTACGACTTGATTTCATGTTTTCATAAATTCGCAGCTTTTGTCAAAATTCTTTGAAAGTAGTAGCACCATAAAGCACTGTCTTGCTTACTTGCTCATCCTGAATTCCATCGATGATATATTGTATCACTGATTCTTCCTCAATCGTAATTTGTGACGAAATTTCAATCATCCGATACATATATTCCTGATAAGTTTCATTTTGATGCTTCACTTCCATCGACAGTTGTTTATGCATCTTTCTGCTGTTCAGTTTTGGAGAAAATTCGGCGCAAAGGGCTTCTTTTAATGCTCGCCATGACTTAGTACATTGTTCGTAGTTTACGTACATTCTTGCTGAACCTCTGTAGTCGTTTTGCGTAAATTATCTTCTGCATGCCATTCCAGTTACACATTTCCGCCATGTCTTCGAAATTAGATATCCACTTTACATTCTTTCCGTCGTCACCCCTGAACGTTTCAAGGGATTCATCAACATCTCTAAATGTAAACATTGGCTTAGAGTACTCACTTGTATGTCGCATAATATCACTATCTTCGTCCTCACTTTCGTCAGCATCGTCGTCGCCTTGCACGTCGTTGTCTCTGGCGTTCTCAATCAAAAGTGCCGCCTCCAATCTTTGCACCAACTCTCTCTTGTTACCCGTGGTCGTCCTAGTTCGATTTTCAGATCAGCACACTTAAGATGTTTCACATCCGACATCGTATTGCCCTTAGTTACAACAGTCAGTCGTAGTTCTTCGTCGTTCACCGCAGCGTCACTAACTCCGCCATCTTGTCTGGACTCCATTGCCCTTCTAAAAGTTCTCGTAAGAATTTCTCAATATCCCGGACGAGCCCCCAAAATTTGTAGGAATAGTTATTGAGATAGAGAAATAGAAATGACAATAATCCAGCGGTCGTAACCGTCTTGATAGAATGATAATATTCTCGCCTTCGTAACGCCTTTTAGCCCTTTCTCACTTTCGTGTCGTCCCCAACTGTCGTCTTTCTTACTTCGTCCCTTACTTGACTCTCTCCCTCGTTCTCCTCGCCTCCCCCTCAACCCCGCGTAAATTTATTGTCTTAACGGTTTAGGATTGTTGCTTGTCTAAACCCCACATCTATGATGTTAGAATCCTAAATATTAGTAAGCTTCTCTTTCATCCATGGATTCAATGACATTTCTGAGTACAGAATCATCCTTCTTCAGAATTTCTTTCTTTTTTTTTCTATGTGAAGTGTTCTGATTTGTCTCGACCAGGGATGGGCAACACGTAGACCGCGGTCGAACGGTCGACCGCAAAGGTTTTGTAAGTCCTCGCGAAGCTAAAGTTGAACAATTTGCTTTCACTTAAATTAATGTTTAAAAATCTTAATTCGATAATTTATTCTTACAATAATAGACTGTCTGTGCAACGTACCCATACTATTTGTATTTATCCCGATGAACAATGCAAATGAATGTTAACGCATGCTCATATAAAAATCCTAAAATTGTTTGCCCATATTCATAGTCGCCCGCAGACTATATTTTTTTACCAAAAAAGTAGCCCCTAAGGGATAAAAGTTTGGACACACCTGGTCTAGACCAAATTCCATTTGAATGTCAGTGGAGTAAGTGTGTGCAACTTCTAAAAGATGATTTAGCTGAGCTTGTGTAGACGCATATAGTTTTACGTCGTCCATGTAGATGAGGTAAGATAATATATAATGTATTGTTTTGTTGTGTTTAATGTTGTATCAAATTATTGGTCAATGGGTTCAAGGTGGACAAAACTAGAGTAGACTTAATGAATCTCTCTTAAAAATGTCTCGTATTATATGTGTTTGGTTTGTTTTGGTATACGTGTCGTGAAGTCTGAAGTGCAGTGTTCTCCTGTGTTGCATTGTCTTTTCTAAAAATGTAATGAGCGTTGATTGTATTTTGTATAAGTGTAGTGTATGCAGTAGTGTAAAAGTATGTGGGATGCTGTCGAATGCCTTTCTGTAAGCTATGTATGCTATGTATAGGCTTTTGTTTTGTTTCTGTGCTTCTCGTAGAATGAATGAGTCTATGAGTAACTGCTTTTTGTATCCCATGTGGTTTTTACGTCATTCTTTTTGCTGCTGGAGAGAATGTTGTATTGTTGTATGTGATGGTATTTTGTTTGTAATGCATGAAGTGTAGAATGTAGGAAGTCAAATGATTGTTCATTATTGGGTAAGATCTTTCGTGTTATCATTTTTGTAAGAAGAGTCTTTTGGTATTGTCCTATATTTTAAAAAAATTTGGCATGTCTTATGGTTTCTGAATGTGTACGTGAAATTTTTGGCTAATTCCTGGTGCAGAGGAATGAATGTTTTGTACCAGAAATTATGAATGCTATCTGCAATTGGCGCCTTCCAACTGTGTGTTCTTTGTATTGCATGTTGGATATCTTGTATGCTTATTTCAATATAAGAGATGATTCTTCTTTTTTCCTTGATCCAACACGTTTTGTTTTTGTGTGTGACTAGATTGGACCAAAGAGCAGATCAATAATCTATGAATTGTTTTTCTGTTGGTGCACCATTGTGCTGTGATTGTATGGTGGGTTTTATACATAGTTGTCTGTAAAATATTGATTATGAATAATTTATTTTGTTGTTTTCGCAGCATACAGACTACGTTTCAGTTTTTCGACTTACTCGTTAGCTGCAAGTTTTTGTTTGAGTGTGTCCATGTATTGTGTTGTTCGTGTTGTGTGTGTGTGTTTTAATTTTCCTGAATATTTTCTTAACCTCTTTTATTAACTTTAATATTATGATGCCTTTAGTGTTATGTCAACCTGTCTAATTGTTTGAAATGTTATTAATTTGTATTTCTAGTTTTATTTGCAAGCTTATGATTTGTCTGTGTTTTTAATGTATCTGTTTGGCATTGTGGTCCACTTGGCTGGATTGCTGCTGAAGCACTTTGGCTGGATTGGTGTGTATTATCCATTGTGTATATGTATGAGATAGTGAATGTGTCTGTGATACAGCAGCCATACTTGGGCCAGCGCTGTGTTCACCACCGGTAGCTAAGAGAGACTTTAGTAGATTTCTTGAACGTGAATCTCTGCCTAACTCACGTACTCGGACCTTGTTAACCCTGACGACGTTCGAACCGATATCATGCTGTGAAAGTGTGACTACCATTTTTATTTTCTCCAAGAAGAGAGTGAGCTTATATATCTAAAGCTGAGTGTTTATAAATCTGACGCCCCTAACGTGGGAATCGATGCTGTTTAGCAGCCACCCACGCTGCTTATGGGTCACTCTTTACTTCATTTCTCTCTATAAACCTTACTAGTATGGGTGACTCTACCGAAAGCTTATGTTCCCGCCGGCATCACTCTATAGTTTATTATAACTACTGAGCTCTCTCACTCCGAAAGGAGGTGATTAGCGAGAGTTATTATTTTTATTATTTTAACTCTTTCCTCACCGTTGGTATTAACAGGGATTATTTTTTCCATATCCATTGCGGTGAGCGACTGGTAGGTGAGACTGTTTATTTGTTATTAAAATTACAGGCAACTTTAGATGGCATTGTGTTTAATTTCAATAAAACAGACAATATTTTTCTTATAAAAATGAAAATAATATACAACAATTTGAAAAATACAGTAAAATTAATTTCGTTAGGACGGTTATTAATAATAATTATAATAAATTTATGAAAATAGTACATGTATTAAATTACGAAGGGTCATATTTTTATTTATAATTGACGAAAATTGTGTAATTGATAATTCTTTTAATCAAAATTTAAAAAATCCAATTTCATTTTCATTCATTTATAGTTTAATTATTTTAAAATACTGTATAGTATAAATGATAAAGATATAATTAAATAAACTATTTTATTTGTAAATATAATTATAATTTCATTCATGTCTTAATCTGAAATTTCAAAATCCTTCCGACAGAATTTATAAAATTTTATAAATATGATACTGTGGATATTTTTATTTGTATATGAAAATAATTATTTGTATGAATGATAAGAAAAAAGATTAAAAGAAACAAATGGAATCATAAAAATCAATAAAGATCATAAGGAAGAGAAAAGAAGAGACATAAGGAAGAAATGAAAAATATACAAATATTTCATAGAAACTAAATTTTTTAAATGTTTTATTTATAAACATAGAAATGTCCTATTAATTTGACAAAAAATTATTAATTTATATCACTTCTTATAAAATAATAAAATGGTGAATTTTTAATGTAGTTTATACGAATTTTTTATAATTTTTATAACAAATCTATCACGGTCAGTCGGCTATTACTAGATTTATTTTAATATTAATACAGTTAATATTAAAATAACTGTATTATTATTAACTGTAATATTAAAATAACTGTATTATTATTAACTGTAATATTAAAATAACTGTATTATTATTAACTGTAATATTAAAATAACTGTATTATTATTAACTGTAATATTAAAATAACTGTATTATTATTAACTGTAATATTAAAATAACTGTATTATTATTAACTGTAATATTAAAATAACTGTATTATTATTAACTGTAATATTAAAATAACTGTATTAGCAGCCACCCACGCTGCTTATGGGTCACTCTTTACTTCATTTCTCTCTATAAACCTTACTTTTTGCATAACATTTGAAATTTAGTAATTATGGTAGAGCTATTCTTTAATCTTCTTTAAAATAAAAACTAATTAAATGAAATAATATCTCTACAAAGAACTTTTAAAATTTATACAGTAGGAAAGTATTATTTTTTAATCTAGTAAAATTTACATTTGTTTTGTAAATCAAGCTATTTATTAATAATCTGTGCCAAATACTGTGACTGTCCTATTTCTACTATCTGATTAATATATAAAGATTTTTTCGAGGAAAAAAAAATGTGTGACTTCATGGCATGATAACTTCGATTCTTTCAACCGTGAATTATAAAAACATGCCTCTTATAATAATAATAATATTGTATTAATTAACAGTATTTTTATAATTAAACATAATTTCAAATTCTATATATTTCCCTCAATAGTGAATAGTAAAAGTTATGCTTTCTAGTATAGGCTATAAATATTTCAGAAAAAATTACAGTATACATTTTATCTAATTAATCATATGAACTAGATTAATCAGAGATAGATTTAAAAATTCTAGTATTAATCAACTCATATGATCTAATTACTTGAATATTTATATAAATACATTTGTTGTATTTATATAAATATAATATTGTTATCATTTTAACATTATTATTAATACTTTTTATTCTTGTTTTTGCATAAATATGTTTCTTCATCATTATCATTTTTCAGCTCCTGCTTCAAGATACTTTATTCACGTGTTTTTTCCTTATTTTCCAGAGTGAAAGGTGTATCTGGATTAAGGGTAGTCGATGCTTCTGTTATGCCTGAAATCATCTCAGGGAACACAAATGCTCCAACGATAATGATAGCAGAGAAGGCTGCTGATATGATCTTAGGATACAAAACATATCTACATAATGAAACGTGATATAACTTAGTTTAATTTTAATTATCATTTTCATATGTATATTATTCTCATAATTTAAACTGTAAATTAAAAGAAATAATTGTACATATTAGCATCATCTTTTAGACAATTTTAAATTAATAAATCATTTTAAATTATATTTTTTTACATTTATTGAGAATTATTAGAATGGGTTACAACAGATCACAAACGAACCTTGTCCAGTTTTTCCCTGACGTATATGAATAATAATAATTATTATTATTTGTTATAAACTATAGATTAAAAAGACTATAAGCTGAATATTTATATAATAATGTTCTGTTATTACACAAATTTATGTTAATGACTTTGATCAATTGTCTGGAAAATTACTCGTGAAGCGATCGTGTACCATGCTCAATATAAAAATATGTACCAGGCTCAATATAAACACTCATATTTTAATCATTTTTAAATGAAAATTTAACCGTAAAACCGATCTGTTAAGTTATAAAATTTATGTATATGTATCTTGGTCCCAGTGGGACCAAGATAAATGACCACTACAGAAAGGTGGTGACTATATGGAGAATACATACATTATAACAAACAAATCCCCATGACACATTGTTTTGTAGGTTTTGTGAGTTTATTTCTATTAATGTTTCATATAGCAGAATACACATTAATTGCATCAAAAACTGTATAAATTGAGATATCCTCTCTTTGAAGTTGTCCACTGTTATATCATCTACATCATTTCATTCTTTACATAGTACCTTCTCTGAAATGACATGTCTTTACTTAAATGATTCGAGCGAACCATTTGATGCATTAGCGTTATAAATATAAAGCTTCTCTGCAAATATGAATATAATGTAAATAGCCATAATGTAAATAAGAGTAGACGTAGAATAAGCAATAGAGCATATGTAGTTTTTGATTTTTTAATAATTTCGCCCTCCGGACACTAAGAAGACCTTTAATCATTCCCATCGTGGATTCGGCCAGGACCACAATGAGGCGTCTCAGTGATGAATAGGATAGACAACCTTCAAGAAATTACTGGGTTTTTCGAACCCAGGTTTTCAGAGCGATAGATTGGATTGGATTAATGGAATAAAGCAACGCGACATATGGGCGATCTGCCAAGGAAGAATGCTTCTCGGGAAGACTTTCTATGGGAAAGTGGCCTCTATTTAGGCACGTGAAGAAAATTCAGAAAATTCCTAGTAGTTCCAAATTCCAAAACAAGAGATTTCGTTTCAACTTGAGATATTTTCCTAATAAAATTCTTGCGATATTTTATTTTAACAAATTTTTATTTTTTGTTACTTGCGCTTCTTCTGAGATTCGATCGATAGGAACCAGCACGTGCTCTACGATTAAATTTCTGTGGGCACTTAATTGAAATATAAAACCAGAGATAGTTTTCTATAAATAATTTGGCTGTATTTAAGGCATGAATGTGATTATATTGATAACAAAGGTATATTGATAACTAGATTTCAAAAATAAATTTTAAGGGTAATAGCTTACAGCAATAGACAAATTCTAAAAACCCACACAAGAAACGACAACGATAATCATAAAATATCGAAAAGTTTGAAAAAATGTAACATATAACTGAGGCGTAAAAGCCTTTTTGAATTCAGCTGATAAAAAACTGATTAATGAGTCGATTCATAAAAATGTGTTTTTTTTTTTTTTTCAACAAAATGGAACGTTTGCACAAGATCTTCAAACAGAGTTTTAAAACATATACAATTTAGTGATAATCCTAAAAATAATTAGTTTATATAAAATATTAATGAAAAAAATTACTACTTAGTAGGATACATTTCTGTGATATTGTCTGTAAGTGTGTCTAATCATTAAGTTTACGTGACAAAGACCACGTCTACTCGTCGAGAAACCAGTTAGTGAATTGCCTCGAGTGTTAAACAAATGAAAAAGATTTTAAAAAATGGTATCTTCCCCACCCTTTCTTATTCAATATTCCACCAACCTGATTTCTATTCACTTTTAGATAGTTTACCTGTTACCTTATTCGTCATAACCTATATGTAAATTAAATTACTGTATTTAAATTATATCTGATGTATTTTTCATATTTTATATAATTAATGATTAAATAATATCAATTTGTTAATAGATAATAAGGACTAATTATTATATAAGGATTAACTAATTAATTTTAAATTTTCTTAAATAATAAAAAACAAACATCGAAATTTAAACATTTTTTTAAAATTATTTTTTTAGAATTAAACTTTTTCTGAAACTAAACTAAGTTTTACAATAAGAAATTAAATGTAAGCTTCTTTAAATTTAAATTTTCATTCTAGTTTCTTTTGTTTTATGCTTACGGTACATAATTTTCGTTTGTTATGCAACATGAAAGCTTTATTTTTAACATTTTAACTTGTATGTTCCGAACAATGTACAGTACTTAATTTAGAAAGTGATATTCCCATTTACCTACATTATAAGGGCTGGCCCAAAACTCAGTTAACAGTTACACAGTGAAAGAGCTTTAACAATATTATTAAAAGTAAACAGTTTATGCTTAATACAAATTTATAACATCCTAACACATTGATGTAAATCTTCAGAGTAAATGACACTCATTGTTCCTGGTTCTTCTTAATAATTAAATCACTTGATAAACGAGTGATTCGGCATCCAGCCTATTATTAAACATTCTTTTATCCTTTCACAGTCTTTTTTTTTATGATCTTTCTACAAATTTGCAAGACATTCATTCATCTAAATAAAATTTATAATTCATATTTAACAAGCACGTTACAAATATGTAATGAAGCAAATAGCATCCTGTTTGAATGGAACCGAAGAAAATGACGTATAGATAATAATATGTTAACCATTTTAAACCAGTTTTAATTATTTGATAATTATTATCTTAAAATAAACTCGGTTAAGTGACTTTTGAGCAGTGTTCTACGTTAAAAAATTATAAAAATTTATAATAATAAGAAAAATGAATGAAAATAAACGACGATTAATGAAAAACACTTTATTTCTCGAAAATTAATAGTGACTTAATCTATGATCTGTAATTTATGTTTGAGATTTTGCTGTTATCTGCTTTCTATGATCATTGAAATGTCATTACTCTAAATGAAAGTTCCTAATTAAAATAATTTTGGCACATTCTAAATCATATATTTTAGTTATAAGAGTAGATTTAAATACAATTAACTCAATTTAATTTAAACAATTATTATTAAATTAATTGTCTAGAACATCTCGATGCATTTTATTATTTGGAGATGATTTATATCATTGATTTATAGTGTTAAAATTCAAGTTATAACTTGATTATTGTGACGTCCTCACAAAACCAGGTTGGAATTTTTAATCATAATTTTACTTAAAAATAAAGTAAATAATATAGGCTACACCTTAGAGGATCGATAGAGATATATCATTGATTTCAGTTTATCGTAAGGATCAATTCTATACCATATTTACCGCTTTAGGTATTAGGTGAAAATTTTAAATTGAAATCACATGACTTCCGGTCCCTACCGAAAGTTCGTATATAGTTAATTAAAATAAACACCACCAGCTGAAACTTACTCGTATGTAAATCAGCAAAGTGTCATTCTATTTTGCAAGTGTCAGACAAATGATCGTTTCTGACAAACAAATGTCTGCTAGGACTATTAACAATGAGGAAATGTTCCTGATAAATCAGTAGCTAATCAAGTATGCCTCAGAGAAAGCATTTTGATGATTCATTGTCATGGAGAGCTGTTCATTTCTGCATTTTTGCCACGTACAGTACTGTACATTCGTGTGTTTACTTTAGTTTTTAGTTTTAGACACGAGTATAGTAAAAATTTCCCACCAAAAAAATTTGTGATTTTACTATGGCTAAGATATAATATACATTAATTAATTTTTAAGCAAGAGCTTACAAATTTAAGAAATCCAGCAACGAGTTGCTTATCTTTTCCGGTAACCTTCGGTGGCGCTATCTGTTATCATATTTTGTTTTAAAAAACTTTTTATACTTTTTAACTATTATAAAATGGCAAAATTATTAATTTTGAGANCTCACTTTCGTGTCGTTCCGAACTGTCATCTTTCTCACTTCTCCCCTTACTTGACTCTCTCCTTCGTTCTCCTCGCCTCCCCCGCAACCCCTCGTAAATTTATTGTCTTAACGGTTTAGGAATGTTACTCGTCTAAACCCCACATTCGGCCATTCTGACAGCTAACGAAGTATTCCACTAGTCAGACGAGGACATCGTCCCCGATGTCCTCGTCTGATCGGTGGAATACTTCGTTAGTTGAACGGACCCACGGTTTCATGTTGTCCGCTTGCAGTTTTTTAATTAATTTAATGTTCTCCTTTGCTGTTACTCTAATTTTTGCGGATTTTCTAGACCGTCTTCGATATTTTGAATCACGTGATTGAGTATGATTGTCACGTCGTCTTTGATCAGGACTTCTCGATCTAGATCTATATTTAGATCTTTCTTTCATTTTTCTTTCTTTCTTTATAATATCCTCTTCTATTATAATAAGATCTATCTCTACTTCTGCTTCCATGTTTTCTACTTCTTGAGCGTCTATTTTGTCTCATGTCACGTTTTCGATCATCTGATCTACTATGATAATTTTGTCTGTGTTTTTCTTCTTCCTTTTGCTTTCGTTCTTCTTGCTCTCTTTCTCTCTTATGAACAATTTCTTCACCTGCTGATTTTAATCTTGCGTAACCAACATGCTGTTTTTCCATTGAATGATCATCAGCGCGTTGCTGTGCGTCACCACGTATAAAAAAGGCACCACAAACTTCCATCTGTTTCTCCTGAACAACTGCAACTTCTGCTTGCTTAACGTTTGATGCATGACGTTGCTGTAACCAATGATTAAGTTCTGAAGACTTATGTGAATCTTCTTTTTCTTCTTTTGACTGGTCATACCATTTTATAATGAAAGTTAGATATACCCCTTCGATTTATGCTCGTACCCCTAGGGGTACACGTACCCCCAACTGAGAACCACTGAATTAATCAATATATCCCTCTACAATATGATATTATATTGAATTGTTCGGAAAGTAATTTTTGTTATTTTGTAAAGTTTCGTTATTCCTTGCTCTTCTACTATTCCTTCATCATCTGTGGATGGTTCAGATGTTTTGTGTAACCATTCTTCCATCTCCTTATTAACTTCAGCCTTCTAACTAGCAGATAGCTGTCTTGGATGTTGACAAACTGGAGCATCATTTTTTAAAATAATGTTCATTTTTATCTCTGTTTCTTGTTCCCTGGCTGCTTTGTAGTTTCTTGTTGGATTCAGAGGCTCTCCTCTATATTTTGCATCATTGGTGCGGCTCAACCAACACCACCAACATCAACGCAGGCAACATCGATATCGTATACGTCTGAAATGTTTACTTCTACACTTCTTGCTTTAATAAATTTTACAACACGATCTTCTTTTAAACTGATATGAACTTGTTTCAGAAAGTCTGCTCCCAACGATAACTGATAAGCAAGGAATGAACTTGGAACCACATGTATGGGGATTGAAAATTGGTCTTTGTCAACACTTACTACAGTCCAAAAACTCCCTAGTGTAGAACTCTTTCGTTCACTTACTCCATGAAATTCTAAGAAATTACCAATTAATTTTGGTGCGCCCAACTTTACGTAATCATCGGCTCTCATTAAATTTATGTCACTTCCTGAATCTATAAGTGCCGTGAAGCTCACTTCCTCTATTTTGACTTATTTTATAGGTTTTGACTTAAATTCTTCTACCTTTACTTCATAACTTCTCTTCTCAACATTTTGAGGACATTGAGCCGAAATATAACCAAAATTATTACAACTAAAACATTTTATTCCTTTGTCTTTTTCCGGACAACTTTTACTCACATGGTTTTTCCCGCCACAGTTATAGCAACGTTTTTCATCTCCATAAGAATTATTAGGCTTAATCTCATGCCCTAGCTTCTTAGATCCCATCGTCATTATAGCATTTGGCTTACGACTTGATTTCATGTTTTCATAAATTCGCAGCTTTTGTCAAAATTCTTTGAAAGTAGTAGCACCATAAAGCACTGTCTTGCTTACTTGCTCATCCTGAATTCCATCGATGATATATTGTATCACTGATTCTTCCTCAATCGTAATTTGTGACGAAATTTCAATCATCCGATACATATATTCCTGATAAGTTTCATTTTGATGCTTCACTTCCATCGACAGTTGTTTATGCATCTTTCTGCTGTTCAGTTTTGGAGAAAATTCGGCGCAAAGGGCTTCTTTTAATGCTCGCCATGACTTAGTACATTGTTCGTAGTTTACGTACATTCTTGCTGAACCTCTGTAGTCGTTTTGCGTAAATTATCTTCTGCATGCCATTCCAGTTACACATTTCCGCCATGTCTTCGAAATTAGATATCCACTTTACATTCTTTCCGTCGTCACCCCTGAACGTTTCAAGGGATTCATCAACATCTCTAAATGTAAACATTGGCTTAGAGTACTCACTTGTATGTCGCATAATATCACTATCTTCGTCCTCACTTTCGTCAGCATCGTCGTCGCCTTGCACGTCGTTGTCTCTGGCGTTCTCAATCAAAAGTGCCGCCTCCAATCTTTGCACCAACTCTCTCTTGTTACCCGTGGTCGTCCTAGTTCGATTTTCAGATCAGCACACTTAAGATGTTTCACATCCGACATCGTATTGCCCTTAGTTACAACAGTCAGTCGTAGTTCTTCGTCGTTCACCGCAGCGTCACTAACTCCGCCATCTTGTCTGGACTCCATTGCCCTTCTAAAAGTTCTCGTAAGAATTTCTCAATATCCCGGACGAGCCCCCAAAATTTGTAGGAATAGTTATTGAGATAGAGAAATAGAAATGACAATAATCCAGCGGTCGTAACCGTCTTGATAGAATGATAATATTCTCGCCTTCGTAACGCCTTTTAGCCCTTTCTCACTTTCGTGTCGTCCCCAACTGTCGTCTTTCTTACTTCGTCCCTTACTTGACTCTCTCCCTCGTTCTCCTCGCCTCCCCCTCAACCCCGCGTAAATTTATTGTCTTAACGGTTTAGGATTGTTGCTTGTCTAAACCCCACATCTATGATGTTAGAATCCTAAATATTAGTAAGCTTCTCTTTCATCCATGGATTCAATGACATTTCTGAGTACAGAATCATCCTTCTTCAGAATTTCTTTCTTTTTTTTTCTATGTGAAGTGTTCTGATTTGTCTCGACCAGGGATGGGCAACACGTAGACCGCGGTCGAACGGTCGACCGCAAAGGTTTTGTAAGTCCTCGCGAAGCTAAAGTTGAACAATTTGCTTTCACTTAAATTAATGTTTAAAAATCTTAATTCGATAATTTATTCTTACAATAATAGACTGTCTGTGCAACGTACCCATACTATTTGTATTTATCCCGATGAACAATGCAAATGAATGTTAACGCATGCTCATATAAAAATCCTAAAATTGTTTGCCCATATTCATAGTCGCCCGCAGACTATATTTTTTTACCAAAAAAGTAGCCCCTAAGGGATAAAAGTTTGGACACACCTGGTCTAGACCAAATTCCATTTGAATGTCAGTGGAGTAAGTGTGTGCAACTTCTAAAAGATGATTTAGCTGAGCTTGTGTAGACGCATATAGTTTTACGTCGTCCATGTAGATGAGGTAAGATAATATATAATGTATTGTTTTGTTGTGTTTAATGTTGTATCAAATTATTGGTCAATGGGTTCAAGGTGGACAAAACTAGAGTAGACTTAATGAATCTCTCTTAAAAATGTCTCGTATTATATGTGTTTGGTTTGTTTTGGTATACGTGTCGTGAAGTCTGAAGTGCAGTGTTCTCCTGTGTTGCATTGTCTTTTCTAAAAATGTAATGAGCGTTGATTGTATTTTGTATAAGTGTAGTGTATGCAGTAGTGTAAAAGTATGTGGGATGCTGTCGAATGCCTTTCTGTAAGCTATGTATGCTATGTATAGGCTTTTGTTTTGTTTCTGTGCTTCTCGTAGAATGAATGAGTCTATGAGTAACTGCTTTTTGTATCCCATGTGGTTTTTACGTCATTCTTTTTGCTGCTGGAGAGAATGTTGTATTGTTGTATGTGATGGTATTTTGTTTGTAATGCATGAAGTGTAGAATGTAGGAAGTCAAATGATTGTTCATTATTGGGTAAGATCTTTCGTGTTATCATTTTTGTAAGAAGAGTCTTTTGGTATTGTCCTATATTTTAAAAAAATTTGGCATGTCTTATGGTTTCTGAATGTGTACGTGAAATTTTTGGCTAATTCCTGGTGCAGAGGAATGAATGTTTTGTACCAGAAATTATGAATGCTATCTGCAATTGGCGCCTTCCAACTGTGTGTTCTTTGTATTGCATGTTGGATATCTTGTATGCTTATTTCAATATAAGAGATGATTCTTCTTTTTTCCTTGATCCAACACGTTTTGTTTTTGTGTGTGACTAGATTGGACCAAAGAGCAGATCAATAATCTATGAATTGTTTTTCTGTTGGTGCACCATTGTGCTGTGATTGTATGGTGGGTTTTATACATAGTTGTCTGTAAAATATTGATTATGAATAATTTATTTTGTTGTTTTCGCAGCATACAGACTACGTTTCAGTTTTTCGACTTACTCGTTAGCTGCAAGTTTTTGTTTGAGTGTGTCCATGTATTGTGTTGTTCGTGTTGTGTGTGTGTGTTTTAATTTTCCTGAATATTTTCTTAACCTCTTTTATTAACTTTAATATTATGATGCCTTTAGTGTTATGTCAACCTGTCTAATTGTTTGAAATGTTATTAATTTGTATTTCTAGTTTTATTTGCAAGCTTATGATTTGTCTGTGTTTTTAATGTATCTGTTTGGCATTGTGGTCCACTTGGCTGGATTGCTGCTGAAGCACTTTGGCTGGATTGGTGTGTATTATCCATTGTGTATATGTATGAGATAGTGAATGTGTCTGTGATACAGCAGCCATACTTGGGCCAGCGCTGTGTTCACCACCGGTAGCTAAGAGAGACTTTAGTAGATTTCTTGAACGTGAATCTCTGCCTAACTCACGTACTCGGACCTTGTTAACCCTGACGACGTTCGAACCGATATCATGCTGTGAAAGTGTGACTACCATTTTTATTTTCTCCAAGAAGAGAGTGAGCTTATATATCTAAAGCTGAGTGTTTATAAATCTGACGCCCCTAACGTGGGAATCGATGCTGTTTAGCAGCCACCCACGCTGCTTATGGGTCACTCTTTACTTCATTTCTCTCTATAAACCTTACTAGTATGGGTGACTCTACCGAAAGCTTATGTTCCCGCCGGCATCACTCTATAGTTTATTATAACTACTGAGCTCTCTCTCTCCGAAAGGAGGTGATTAGCGAGAGTTATTATTTTTATTATTTTAACTCTTTCCTCACCGTTGGTATTAACAGGGATTATTTTTTCCATATCCATTGCGGTGAGCGACTGGTAGGTGAGACTGTTTATTTGTTATTAAAATTACAGGCAACTTTAGATGGCATTGTGTTTAATTTCAATAAAACAGACAATATTTTTCTTATAAAAATGAAAATAATATACAACAATTTGAAAAATACAGTAAAATTAATTTCGTTAGGACGGTTATTAATAATAATTATAATAAATTTATGAAAATAGTACATGTATTAAATTACGAAGGGTCATATTTTTATTTATAATTGACGAAAATTGTGTAATTGATAATTCTTTTAATCAAAATTTAAAAAATCCAATTTCATTTTCATTCATTTATAGTTTAATTATTTTAAAATACTGTATAGTATAAATGATAAAGATATAATTAAATAAACTATTTTATTTGTAAATATAATTATAATTTCATTCATGTCTTAATCTGAAATTTCAAAATCCTTCCGACAGAATTTATAAAATTTTATAAATATGATACTGTGGATATTTTTATTTGTATATGAAAATAATTATTTGTATGAATGATAAGAAAAAAGATTAAAAGAAACAAATGGAATCATAAAAATCAATAAAGATCATAAGGAAGAGAAAAGAAGAGACATAAGGAAGAAATGAAAAATATACAAATATTTCATAGAAACTAAATTTTTAAATGTACTTATTTATAAACATAGAAATGTCCTATTAATTTGACAAAAAATTATTAATTTATATCACTTCTTATAAAATAATAAAATGGTGAATTTTTAATGTAGTTTATACGAATTTTTTATAATTTTTATAACAAATCTATCACGGTCAGTCGGCTATTACTAGATTTATTTTAATATTAATACAGTTAATATTAAAATAACTGTATTATTATTAACTGTAATATTAAAATAACTGTATTATTATTAACTGTAATATTAAAATAACTGTATTATTATTAACTGTAATATTAAAATAACTGTATTATTATTAACTGTAATATTAAAATAACTGTATTATTATTAACTGTAATATTAAAATAACTGTATTATTATTAACTGTAATATTAAAATAACTGTATTATTATTAACTGTAATATTAAAATAACTGTATTAGCAGCCACCCACGCTGCTTATGGGTCACTCTTTACTTCATTTCTCTCTATAAACCTTACTTTTTGCATAACATTTGAAATTTAGTAATTATGGTAGAGCTATTCTTTAATCTTCTTTAAAATAAAAACTAATTAAATGAAATAATATCTCTACAAAGAACTTTTAAAATTTATACAGTAGGAAAGTATTATTTTTTAATCTAGTAAAATTTACATTTGTTTTGTAAATCAAGCTATTTATTAATAATCTGTGCCAAATACTGTGACTGTCCTATTTCTACTATCTGATTAATATATAAAGATTTTTTCGAGGAAAAAAAAATGTGTGACTTCATGGCATGATAACTTCGATTCTTTCAACCGTGAATTATAAAAACATGCCTCTTATAATAATAATAATATTGTATTAATTAACAGTATTTTTATAATTAAACATAATTTCAAATTCTATATATTTCCCTCAATAGTGAATAGTAAAAGTTATGCTTTCTAGTATAGGCTATAAATATTTCAGAAAAAATTACAGTATACATTTTATCTAATTAATCATATGAACTAGATTAATCAGAGATAGATTTAAAAATTCTAGTATTAATCAACTCATATGATCTAATTACTTGAATATTTATATAAATACATTTGTTGTATTTATATAAATATAATATTGTTATCATTTTAACATTATTATTAATACTTTTTATTCTTGTTTTTGCATAAATATGTTTCTTCATCATTATCATTTTTCAGCTCCTGCTTCAAGATACTTTATTCACGTGTTTTTTCCTTATTTTCCAGAGTGAAAGGTGTATCTGGATTAAGGGTAGTCGATGCTTCTGTTATGCCTGAAATCATCTCAGGGAACACAAATGCTCCAACGATAATGATAGCAGAGAAGGCTGCTGATATGATCTTAGGATACAAAACATATCTACATAATGAAACGTGATATAACTTAGTTTAATTTTAATTATCATTTTCATATGTATATTATTCTCATAATTTAAACTGTAAATTAAAAGAAATAATTGTACATATTAGCATCATCTTTTAGACAATTTTAAATTAATAAATCATTTTAAATTATATTTTTTTACATTTATTGAGAATTATTAGAATGGGTTACAACAGATCACAAACGAACCTTGTCCAGTTTTTCCCTGACGTATATGAATAATAATAATTATTATTATTTGTTATAAACTATAGATTAAAAAGACTATAAGCTGAATATTTATATAATAA